AATTAGGGCTAGCGAAACTATAAATAATAAGAACAATAACCCTCGGAAACGGACAAACCCTCGGAAGCGGATATTGCTAGGTTTTTTAAGAGTAGACGCAAAGAACTCGATACGATATTACTTAGAACGGAGGCAGTACTACAATACCTCGTACGTCTACCTATTACAATAGGGAAGACGCGCTCGTATTATAATTAGTCGAAGGCCTTCAATTCTTATAGATATATATTACTTTATAGTTTATTATATATAGAGATAGCGCAGTTAGAGTTGTATATTGTATTATTAGAGGTGAGGTTTAACATAGTTACATAATTAGGTAGTTAAGTATTTAATTTAGCGCGGGCTAAGTAGCTTATTAGACCTACTAAGTTAGCAGCAATAGAGGTTAAGACTAAGATAAAGACCGGCTACGAGGGCGCGGCCTTTAGAAGGGAAGCGTGTGTTAGGGCTAAAGAGGCTATACGTAATTAGTATATAACTAGGCCGAGTAAAGCTAGGGTCTTAATGCCTTAGGTAGGGCTTAGCGCTTAGCGTTAGGCTAACTCTCCTGCCTTCCTCCCTCTCCTCCTAGCTCCTTATCGAATACTACTTGTACCTACTACTACCCTATCTACCTGCTAACATACCCTTCTTACTTCCTCTCTCTCCTCCTAGCTCCTTATCGAATACTACTTGTACCTACTACTACCCTATCTACCTGCTAATATACCCTTAGCTAATTAGGGCTAGCGAAACTATAAATAACAAGAACAATAACCCTCGGAAACGGACAAACCCTCGGAAGCGGATATTGCTAGGTTTTTTAAAAGTAGACGCAAAGAACTCGATACGATATTACTTAGAACGGAGGCAGTACTGCAATACCTCGTACGTCTACCTATTATAGTAGGGAAGACGCGCTCGTATTATAATTAGTCGAAGGCCTTCAATTCTTGTAGATATATATTACTTTATAGTTTATTATATATAGAGATAGCGCAGTTAGAGTTGTATATTGTATTGTTAGAGGTGAGGTTTAACATAGTTATATAAAAATGTACTCCTAGGCGGCTAGCGCGTGCCTAGAGGAGTGCGAGCGAAGCTTTCGCCTTATATATACTAAGCTAATTCGGTTCTTTAGACCTCGAAGCTAGACCTTGAAGCTATTACTATTATTATACGATTTAGTTCTATTAGAATAGTTTATTAGGAATAAGTATTTTTATATTTTTATATTACTATTTTTCTTTTCTAGTATTTTAGATACTACTTTATTATTTTTAACTTTATATATATTACTTACTTTTATTCTAGTTTTCTCTAATTTTTTATATCTATTACTACTTTTTATATTATTAAAAAAACTATTTTTAATTTTTTTCTTTAATGTTTTACAGTTTTTCTATTTAGTATCTTACTTGTTTTACTTACCTATTTTATATTTTCTTATTTATTTTTATTATATGTTTTCTTTTTTCTAATACGTCTAAGTCCTCTTATTTATATCCTTATTTATTACTTGTTTTCTATCTTACTACTTAGTTTAGTACTAGCTTATTATTTAGTCTATTAATTAGCTTATTATTTAGTTTATTATTTACTTTGTTCTCTAGTTTTTTATTTAATCTATTATTTGCTTTATTATTTAGTTTCTTCTCTAGTTTATTATTTACCTTCTTTTTAACTTTATTATAAGTTATTTATTTACTAGAACATAATTTATTTTATTAATTGTTTAACTAATTGTTTAACTAATTGCTTTACTAATTGTTTAATTAATTATTTAATTAATTGCCTTACTAATTGTTCTACTATTGTTTTATTCTGAATTCATTGTTTTATTAATTGTTTTGTTAATTGTTTTGTTAATTGTTCTGTTAATTGTTTTATTTATCGTTTTATTAATTGGTTTATTAATTGTTTTGTTAATTGTTTTATTAATTGTTTTGTTAATTATTCTATTAATTGTTTTATTAGTTGTTTTATTAGTTGTTTTATTAGTTGTTTTATTAGTTGTTTTGTTTGTTGTTTTGTTAAATGTTTTACTAACCAGGATAGTACCCGTACGTAAGTACTTCTACTCCTTCTACTTACGTAGTAATAGCGGTAGCGCCCGCGAGTTTTTAAATTTTATATATACCTAGTATAGCGGAGCCGCGAATTTTAGGGTTCCTCGCTCTTATTCTCGCTCTTGTTCCTTTAATATTTTTCGGTAATTTTATAAATTTAAATCGTATGTTTTCTATAATTAAAATTAATTTTTCTATAGGTTCTTTTATTAAAAGTTGTTTTATAAATTCTTTTATTAATGTTTTAGTTAATTTTCTTATTAATTTTCTTATTAATTGTTTGTATATTTTACTATATATTTTACTATATATTTGAAGTATTAGAAGGAAGGCAAAAGGCTTTACTAGCGGTTGTTCGGGAAGTCGGCGCTTGTTCGGGAAGTCGGCGCTTATTCGGGAAGTCGGCGCTTGTTCGGGAAGTCGGCGCTTGTTCGGAGATACCGGCGCTAGCTCCGAAAGTCTCTACTTGTAGAAATTAACCAATTAGGTATATAGGATTCTGAAATCCGGGGTCGGCTTGGCGTCACGTGTAGCTAAGTGCGCATTCTAGCAACTAGATTAGTACCTACGTTGCTATTGTAAGGCGAGCTTCGCTCGCAATAATAGGGCTATTGCTATCGGCGTATAGTACTGTTAGCGCATTGTTATAAAGTCGAAAGTAACGTAATCTTCGGAAGGCGAGTTCTGCCATTCTACCGTCCTAGCAGTTCTTATAGAATTCAGCCAATTAGAGCTTTAGCTTCTAGAATCCGGGGAATTGCGTAGTAGCTAAAGAGGGGATTTGACACCCTTAGAGCCCTTATTATTATAAGGCGAGCTTCGCTTACAATTAGGTAGTTAAGTATTTAATTTAGCGCGGGCTAAGTAGCTTATTAGACCTACTAAGTTAGCAGCAATAGAGGTTAAGACTAAGATAAAGACCGGCTACGAGGGCGCGGCCTTTAGAAGGGAAGCGTATATTAGGACTAAAGAGGTTATACGTAATTAGTATATAACTAGGCTCGAGTAAAGCTAGGGTCTTAATGCCTTAGGCAGGGCTTAGCGCTTAGTAGTAGGCTAACTAGCCTACCTTCCTCCTTCTCCTCCTAGTTCTCTATCGAATACTATACTAATTTACTACTACCCTATCTACCTGCTAATATAACCCTTCTTACAAAGTTCTCGGGGTTAAACTTACTTATTTACGCTTATACCTACGCCTACAACTCCTGCCTCTGCTTCTATACTATCTATCCTATTATTATAGTAAGATCTCCTTATATCTTTTGTATTCCTTTATTTAACTTAGTAATAGCTATCGTAGTTGCTATATCCTACTATACGCTACTATCCGTACGAGAAGCTATATAACTTATTAACTTCTTTAAATCCGGCCGCAAGTTAGTCGACTCGTCGTTAACTAGCTTCTTACGCTTCTTCTGTCTATACGCTAACTATATACTCGTAGACCTATCTCTTCTACCTAATAGAGTTAGAGTCGGAGTTACACTTAATAAAGACCTACGATTAAAGTTTAGTCGTACTAGCGGCGGCATTGTTAAGCGAGAGTCGTCTTCGTCGGTAGCGTTATTAAAGTCGCTTATATCTTCGTCCGGATAATCTATAGTTAGGTCTTAATCTTCTACAACCTCGTTATTATCTAATAGCGTATCTACTGTCTTCTTATCTCCTTATCTAACTATTATCTTCGTACGCTTAATCTGCGACTTTGCTACTTCTATAGTTGCTACCTATACTATCTTCTTATAGTCGACTTCTTCCTATTTCTTCCTATCCTTAAACGCTATCTAATCCTTTATTGCTATACTTATATTAGTCTCGTTCTTAGTACTAGTCTCGGACAGATTAGCGAAGTAGGTACGCTACTATGTCTTATAGGTCTTTATTACATAGTCGAGACTATTATAAATAGGTCTGCTATTCGACTAGAAAAGAGCTATTATAACGTTCTAGAAGCCGTCTCTAAATTAATGCTAATTATCGTTATAGGTACGTACTAATAGTAATAACGCCTCGTCGTCTAATCTGCCTCTTCTACTAGTATATAGTATTAGTACTAGAAGTCTACTATTCGCTATATTACGGCTGTCTCTACCTATATCTCTAGTTACTATTCTACTCTCTTCTTTAAGCGTAGCGATAGTAGTCTTCCGCCGCTAAGAAGCGCTTTTCTTTTTTAATCGACCGGCCGCTTAACTCGCTATATCGCTAGGCGTAGGTGTCTTACTCGGTACTAGTATACGCGGTTGCGGAGTATCCGAAGGTACTAATAGACGCTCGATCGACGGCTTCGCTACTATCTCTTCTTATACCTTAAACTAAGCCGCTCTCGCTATAGCGGCTCTTTAGGCGGCGGCAATATTATTAGTATAGTTAATAGCTACTCGTTATACCTTAACTTTAGTACGAGATAAGGTATTAATAGCTAGTAAGTCGTTACGATAGAAGTCGCTCGGTACTATAGAGGGCTCTCGAGAGGCCGTTACTAGAGCCGGAGTTATACTAGCGCGAATAGTAGAATCTAAACGGAACGTTATCTAAGATATTATGCTTTAATTTGTTAAGGAATGCTAATAAAGTAGAGCAGTTCTAGTAGTACGCGATTCTATACGAGTTCTACGCGTTGCAGGTACGAGATATAGTCTCTACTAAGCGGCCTCTTCCGCCCTATCTAACTATTCTCGATACTTAGTATCTAAATAAGGGTATAAGACCTACCTATAGAGGCCGCTTTATAACTAGAGCGGCCTCTATAGGTCCGCTTTAACTATTGCCTAATAGAGCCGCTAAGAGTGTCCGGATCCAGTATGTCCGAAGGTGTTAGTGTAGGCGTAACAAGTGGCTAAAACGCTCTAATGCCAAGCGAGCCAAGGCATATTCTACAGACTAGGACTGGCATTGCCTCGGTCCCGGATGACCTAATGATTGTGTGGTTAACGTTGTCTTTTTGAAGCCGCGACCACACGAGAGAAGTATGTGGAATACTGTTCAAAGGGTCTTGACGCCCATCTCATCTCATTCCAGGCCTGTGAAGAGAGACGCTCGCGCAGCGGGCATCGATACCATACGTGTTGAAGCCCTCGGTGGCCGGATTAGTAGGACTCGGATGTTGTTCCATTACCGAGTTGACTAGCAGGAGTGCAGTCAGGTACGGCCGTAGAAGACGAGACATCTTTAGATTGACCTCAGCTCCCACCTTCGTTGAGCAGACCTTAATCAAGCACTCTGTAGTACCTCACGCGGACAAAGCGACCGACCTCGAACCTAATTGCACATCTCCTCACATCTCGTCGAAGCAACGACAATATGCCTGTTCCCCGGGAAGAATATCTATCAGATGTTTGGCGGGATGGCATCTTTAACAACAAAGTACTCTTCTGCACCGGCGGCGCAGGCACAATCTGCTCGATACAAGTCCGCGCCTTCGTAGCGCTCGGCGGCAACGCGTACATCATCGGACGAAACGTGGAGAAGACGGAGAGCATGGCCAAAGATCTCATGACTGCGCGACGGGGCTCCAGAGTCATCGGCCAAGGCAATGTAGATGTGCGGAATGCTGTCGCGCTGAAGGAAGCTGCAGACCGCTGCGCGAAAGAGCTAGGAGGGATAGACTATGCGATTGCAGGAGCCGCAGGAAACTTTCTGGCGCCCATGAGCCAATTGAGCCCGAATGCGTTCCGCACAGTCATTGAGATCGATACTCTGGGATCTTATCACACGGCGAAGGCTGTGTTGCCGTATCTGATCGAGTCGGCCAAGAAGTACCCCAATACCGGAAAGAGCACGAACGGGCGTGGCACTGGCGGCCGTTTGGTCTTCATATCAGCCACTTTCCACTTCAAAGGATTCCCTTTGCAAGCACACGCTATGGCTGCAAAAGCTGCGGTAGACCAAATCAGCAATAGTGTGGCCATCGAATACGGACCTTACGGCATTACGAGCAATGTCATCACACCTGGACCAATTGCTAACACTGAAGGCATGACACGACTATCAAGACTCGACGAGGCATCAGCCAAGGCATCCGCAAAGGCCATTCCAGTGGGAAGATGGGGAGAAGTCAAGGAGATTGCTGATGCTACGGTCTACCTGTTCTCCGAGGCTGGAAGCTATGTGAACGGAAATATTTTGGTTGTGGACGGTGGGCAGTGGAGAACTTCGGGAGTAGGAGAAGGCAAGTCATGGCAGTATCCAGACTTTCTGCTTTCTGGAAACAATGTGGAAGGCGTAAAGAGTGGAAGGAGAGCAAAGCTGTAGATGCCAAATTGATCTCTCGGCCTTGAGGATGAGGGATGCAATATACCATGTGCACGAACAAGGCACTCAGACTTGCCGGAAGATGTTCAGCAAGCTTCCGCGCGATCCAGTCCGGAGCATTGAGCTCAAAGTCTCATCCATGCTGTTGTTTACCATCCCAGAATCTTCATTGTATTTGAGTGATTTCCAAAGCGTAAAAAAAAACCGCTTGTTGCGCACCTTTCCCATTTTCAGCATCAGGACTGCGAATTCGCTTACCATGCATAACGAGTCCACAAATTGTTCATGAGCGCACCAAAAAAGAATCTGCCGCTTCTCCCTATCTCAAACCATCACAATGAAATCTCCCCAGCATCACTGCAGACACCCATCTTCCCACTTCTGCCTACTAATTACCACCCAAAAGCACTGTCTCAAAGTGATCGGCGCTCATATGTCTTCACTATATCTCATCACCCCAAACACGGTCTTTTTCATCTTCACTCTGCCAAGACAATCACATGTCAATTCCTTTCCTTTCCTTTCCACATACATATACGTATTATGCATAACCCGTGTTCTGAAACTTGCATATGCTTGGGACATAGTTGCGGCCGGCCTTTCGGTCCCCGCAGCTCGATGGACTGGGCACCTTAACCACAGTTCTATACGATGAACAAGGCAATCGCATAGTGGGTTGAGTGGCTTCAGGTTCGAGTCTTGTTTTGGCTCATGCGTCTCAATCTCTGGGGTCTGCAAGACGTGAGCACAATATTCGTGATTGGCATATGTACCGCCTCCAGATCACTACCACTCAGTCAGCTGAGCTCCATTCCAGCATTTGTATTCACAAATCTTTTCTCAGAGCGAACAGTAGTAAAGGGTAAGATAAGAGTAACGAGCCTTTCGGATTCGCAAACCTTTTTCACATGTCTGATACAAGACAGGTGATTTCCCACCATCAGCACGCGTCTATAAAGTTATTTGCCTTCTGCAAACCCAAATGCTACCGTCACTGCCAAATGACTCGTTGCTCGCTACAATCCATACAAAGATTTCCGCCTTGCTTGTCCAGCCGGCCGCTCTGCTTTTTGCTGGTGATACAGATTTTGTTCGATCCAAGAGAGTGCGCAAAGCGAGAACGCGTGCCGCTGCAAGTGCTTTCATCCGTCCCATGAAGATATGTTCGGGTATCCCATTTTTTCATGTGCCTGCCTCAAATATCGAATGCTTCCGGCACATGTCATTCCCTTGTCGTAGTGGTCTGTCTCATGGTATTGTTGTCGAAACAAAAGAAAGTCAGGTAAACAACATTCGTGATGTTGTGTATGCAACAGCCAGCCATGCAGTATCATGCAACGCAAAACGCAGATCTCGATGTCAGTAGCCATTCGCTTGCTCCAGGCGCCCATGCCTGATTCCCGTGGTTCTGTACGCGAGTGAAGAGGAAAGGAGATGATGTTCTGTTGTTGGTGTTTATGTCGTCAATTGATGTGTCTCGTCGGTTCGTGGCGCACGTCGGCTGCCGACCTGGACGAGTTGAGCTATGCTGCTGTACATTTTGGGGGTATTCTTGGTTGGTTCTTCCGGAGAGCCACACATCTGTATCGTGCCGAGCGGAAGTTTGCTGGCCGCAACCTAGAATTGATCCGGAAATAAATGTCTAGATGAACATTCTAGGTCGTGTCGTTTACAGAAGCGAAAAGGGTATCTCAGTTGGCCGTTCTAAGAAACAAGCGAAATTCGAGCCTCAAGTGGCCATCCTACAAACCCCGGATTGTGATTCGGAGTTTTAGTGTATGACGTTGTTCCGGCGGTCATCATAGCGCTACGTCCAGTACAAGACTGACGTCTGATACGTGTGAGCTGGCAAGATCTTCCAACACTGGTATGAGATCGAGAAGCTCGTTGTCGTGTGCGTCGCTGAACCAGCTGCTAATGGGAACCGCATGCTGTGGGTGGAAGATGTAGCTCGTGGGCGAGTTATCAATGATGATTGTCTCCTTGAGGTCTCGTCCAACTTGGCTAAGGTCCTTGACGTAGTTGCCTTGGTGGTTGTAGCAACTTTCACGGAAGAGGCGGTGGTGCACGACATTGTGGATGTCGAGTTGGTCCAGGAGAGGGTCGCCGTACTTCGCTACGGACGCGGTGAAGACGACAACCTCGTACAGCTCTCCGACGCGCTTCAAGAATTGGTCGACTCCGGGGCGTTTAATTACGTAAACATTATGGTATTGACCTTCGATCTCGACGGGAATCGTGAAGTCGGCTTGATGCAGGATCTGAAAAGTGGGTCAGTGATGCCAAAATTGTATGCTTGAGTAATACCCACTTTGAAGCTGCTGTGCACCAGCGTTTCATCAAGATCCAGAACTAGGCATTTTCGTCCTTTGAACCTTTCTTGGATTGGACCCAGCAGCCATTTTTGCGCTTGTTCCGGTGGCGCTGTCTGAGATTCTGGTGCACTTACTGCGCCATCATTGCTGGTCTTTGGAAGTGGAGGTGGCGGTGGGAATGTGTCAGATGCTGATTGGGGTTGGTCGGCGTGGCTTTTCTCAATTTCCCTGTCGACTTCGTGTGCTTCCTCCTCGGTCATTGGCACCTTTTCGCCTTGCTCCAAATCCTCATCAAGTGCTCTCTGCTCCGGCGTGCGATCTGAAATCGGATTGTCTTCTTGTTGCGGGACTGTTGGCGTTGGTGCTTGCACACCGACTGCTGGGATAGGAGCAAGACTTGAAGATGTGTCTAACGGTGGCGGAACAGTTGCTGGGGCTTCTGCTCCTCGTTGCGCAGTTGAAGAGGTCATATCGGCATGGTCGGCAGAGGTGTCTTCAGCAGGTAAGACAGGTGCTAGCTTCTCCGGATCGCGTCCTGTCTCTGATATGGGCTTTGATTCTGGCTTGACACCATTGGCGGAGGACTGCCCAGCCTTCTCATCGATCATCTCCTTCGACTCTTCGGCACTGGTCGCTGTCGCGCTGACATCCTCCGCACGGCCCCGGCTCTGCTGCGGTCCCTGAGCTCTCGAAGGCTGTGGTTTCGTTAATGGTTTCGGAGGTTGTTCTGCGTCTTGGGGTTGCTCTGGGGCAGTGTCTCCAGAAGCACAGCACAAGAAAGCAAGGATTCCATTCCTCTTCTTGGGTTTATCCTCGGTAGTCTCCCGTCTCCGCCGCGTCAGACTTCTCTTCGAATGGCGGCCTGTGCTATTGGAGCGTATCGCAGGGTCGGTAGAGACAGGCGGTTCTTGTGAGGGAACGGCGCGTGTGTCTGTGTGCATGGCGTGAGTATGCGCTCCAATGTCCATGCGCGTGACTCTGCATCGGACTTACCTTGCGCTGGCTCAGCCGTGGAGGCCATTGGAGAGTGTTTCTTGTCACCGGCAGCGCATCCACGGGGTGGGTAGAATCAGCGCCGCTCCGAGCGACAGAGGGAGCGGTGGAGTGGGTGCAGGAGTCTGGCGCGGCGCTGCGCTGCGCTGGGTTGTTGACGGCCACTCGGCGTGGGAGGAGGTGCGGTCTGTCGATGGACGAGGCGGTGCTCTCAGATTCGGCGGGCGCGGTCCGGTGGCAGTTGCCCTGTCGAATGGTGGCGGCAGGCGCGTATCTCACAACTCAATGTGAAGCCGAGGATGTCGCGGCGCTGGATGGTGTTGCGGAGGCAGCGCAGGCGTGCGATGCGATGCCGATGCGATGCCGATGCGCGAGTCACTGCGAGGTGGACTTGGACGAGCTGCTGTATGGTATGGGCGCCAGATGAGGTCTCTCGAGGAACGAAGGGCAGGGCAGCTCAGCGGGTAAAGCTCGAGCCATCTCAATCTTAAGACGAAAGCTGAGTGGCCAGAGGCTGGACCAATAGTCGCGGTGGTCGGCAGTCTAGCGCGCATCGGCCCTTGCTTGCATCACACGGCCGCTTGCTGCCAGCCGCAGCGCGACACCATCTCCAGCACGGCGGAGGGGAGTGGCGGCCAGCATTATTTGAGTGTCGATGTGTCCGCCATGTCCGCGCTGTCCGGCCTTGCTCGCTGCTGCTGCTGCTGCTGCTGCTGCATCCCTCGATCAGCCATTCCGGCATTCCGGCGTCGCATCCGCGCAACCACCTGAATCAAGGTTCCAGCCGGGCGCCTGCTGCACAAATCTGGGAGAGCGAGAGCGGCCAGCCGAATGCGCTTCCATCAATTTGTCGTGGTTGTCCCTAGAATTTAGTTGCCGCTGGCGTACCCACTTCTGAGCAAGGTTTGCCTTATAATGCGAATTACCGTATCTGAAAAGCACCCATTTCAGCAGCTAAAACAGGCAAACCGTAGATGCCTCGGTTCTCTACCTTATGTGTTAATATAGTGCTAGAGGGAACTATTATTTCTACCCTTCTTCTTATTTATCGACTCTTCTACGACTTCCACGGCTCTTGTTAACGATATATCGATATCTACGCTTATTACGGTCAATATAGCTTATCTAATCCTATCCTTCTTTACGGTTAAACTACGGTATTCGTTATTTAGTCTATCGACTATAGGCTCCTTAATATATAGGGACAGATTCGAGAAGATATAGCCCTTCGTATCTAATTTCTAGGAGAAGAAAAATAAGGCGCTGCGCAATAAGGACGGGTTAACGTAGCGAACGCTTTACTATTATCGTTGTCGGCGTAACGCGAGCCGTCGCTATAAAGAAGGAGATAGTATTCGTAAAGTCGAGTTTAATAAGGATACGTATAACGCGTCGATTGCGATAGTTACGCTATTTAATCGCGCGATAGATAAACAGCCGTATAGCTATAAGATTTATCGTATATACGCCGACTTATCGGCGGAAGGCGATAATATCTACTAGCATTCGATAGATTATATAGTAAGTAATAATATAGTAGATTGAGTTACTTGTTAGTTGTTAGCAGTTAAGATACTAAATTGATGCCTTAGGACTCTAGAGCTATTAGTAATAGGCTTCGGGTTATTATCGAATATATAATAGAATAGTACTAAAACAAGATAGCAGCCGTAATCTATATACTACAGCAAGGGCCTAATAAGAAGCGTCTTGCTAATATAGGCGCGAAGTATACGAGTAAAGGTGTTATAAGGGCGCCGTATACGGTTAATCCGAAACGAGTTACTCTAGCTAAGAAGGGCAATCCCTAGCTATAGCTTAATAACCTTAACCGTTAACTAGCTTCAATTAAGGACGACTAACACGACTTACCTATCCTTTATAAGGCTATCTCGGTTCGTATAGACGGACATATATATAAGGGAATCGTTTAGTATACGGAGTAGCAGCGTATACTGCTTAAATACGAGATTGCTAGAGATGTAAGTTGCTACAGTTTCAGATGCCTAAGGCATTAGCTTTCCGGCTTTCTTCCTAACTTCAAATTTCTATAACAACCGCTAATAACTACCTTCTTAGCTATTTCTCTTTAATGCGACACACGGTACTAGCGACTATCGTTTCCACCTCTTTATAATATACGTCCGTAACGCTTTTAAGTCCTAGATGCCGGCTAGACACTTATTACTGCAGTCTTAGCGTATAAAGCTAATTGAAGCCGGGCTTCGAATCATTAAGAAGTAGGCACCTATATAGAACCCCCTATTCGCTATTATAGACAACTCTGTATAAGAACAGCGTGCGGTAAGGCTTGCATTTAACGACTATTCGATTACTATATACCTCTATTAAAGGCATGCGAAGGAGACCTTCCTACGGCACTTCCCTAAAAGCAAACATCTATAGGCGTAGCGGCTGTTTTCTTACGCTATATATTACGCTCGCAGTAATTAAGAGGTTGTAGATACAATCGACGCTATAGCAGTATCCCTATAGGCCTCTAGCGCGTTAGACAAGCAGATTGAATACCTTAATAACAACTAGCGTAAGAAGTCCTATTTATAGGCAACCTAGGCGAGGCTAAGTAACCTACTTCTAATATAAATACGGACGACTTCGCCCCTAGAAGGCTATTACAACGCTATTAAATATAACGACAAGAAGAACCTCGTCTAGCTTTCTATATATAGCACTATAGTAACGCTAATTACTATTAACGGCCGTTAATAGCAGAAGGCGCAACAATAGCTTAAACGGGTCGGCAAGTCTACGTAGTACTAGAAGATTAAATAGATAGCCCTCTTCGAGAAGCTACAGCCTCTAGCGGCATAGGATTACGTTAGAAGGCAACTAGCTATTATAGATAAATGTAAGGCAAAGGGATTGCCTACACACCCTAGAATAGTAATATATAATAATAGACAACCTGCCTATTGTAATTGCCTTCCGTAGTTCTAATACTACCTCCCCTACTATTATATACTTAGGTTCTACCTATTTGTTACGCCCTTTACGGTTTACTAGTAACAGGCGTATATCAACCTATATATAGGCTACAATTCTATAAAGGTTGCATAATACTAGACAGACAAAGACGGTAATCAATTATAGCTAGAAGGCTACGAAGACACGCGGAAGCCGTAGACTATAGGAGACCTATATCTTCGTAATTTAAGGTCGCACTATAACGAGGCCGCCGAAGGCCTTTCTTAGCACTTCTATCGTATTCGCGACGATAAGACAGTTAATCTAGCAGTACGTAACGGCTATATACGTAGCTTCCTTCGCAAAGTTAAGGATACGCTATATAGCCTTGCTAACTACTCGATTACTAATTACTACGAGAGCGGCGCCCCTAAGGTCACCTTTATAGGTAAGCGGCCGCGGCAATAGACCTTATATCTTCTAGCGTAGCCGACGACTCTAACTCGATCGACAACCTTCTAATCTATTAATATAGCGGCGCCTAACATAGTACCGAATAGGCGCGCAGCGGCATTACCTTTACGCGTTCTAGCGGCCTCATTTTTATTACCCGCGTAGTTAATGCCCTTCCGACTATTACCTTCGAAGAAGCGCGTTAATCGCGGCTACGACACGTAGTTAAATACATAGTCGGCTTAGCCTCTCGATATAGGCTCTATTAAAGAGGTGGATTTAATAGACGACATACCGGTTATCGACCTTGTAACGCCCTAGCGGCCGTTACGTGTTATAGACCTTAGATCAGAGGCATTAGCAGCCTCTTAATTTAACTAGATAGATAACGACGACGCTATACGTAAGATATAGGGTAAGAGAAGGACTTCTGATTAATATTAAGGCAGTAAGAAGAGACTAGTATAGGACGATAGCGATAGCGGCAGCGAGACAGCGATAGCGGCAGCGGTAGCGACTATATATAGGCCTATAGTGCTAGTAATACAATACTTATTAATATTGCAGTTAACCCCTGTCTATTTAGTCGACTAATTAGGCAGTCCGTGGCGCTAAGAACACCCTCCTTCTTAACCCCAATCGTCACCTCAGCCAAGGCCGTAATTACCCAGAATCGGTTATACCCACCATCGGGCGTACGCCTGCAAGGTTTGGTGGCGCTAGCCCATGGAGTGGTACGCTAAAATCTAGGGACAATCACGGATAGCTCTTCCATCCGCTCCGCTCCGCTCCGCCAACTCTGTTCCATATACGCCAAGATCCCGCTGCATTCTGAAAGCCCATATGGCCTTGGCCAGCAGTGATTAAGCTGCAGAAGCGACGAACGTGAACCGTGTGTCGATGAAGTCATTCGTGCCCCTTGATTGACTTCGAGCTTGGGATCGTGAAGGAAGATTTGGCATGGGATGCTTGCCACTGTTAGCCCCCTGCGCGACACGCATGTCTTCCAGAAGCACATCGCACGACACCTTCACATGACAGACACATTCATTCCACTTGGAGCCATCGCTGCAACCGCGAATTTCACAACACGCACGAGCTCCGTGCGCCGTGCGGCAACAATGCATTCATGCATGTTCTAGCATCTCCTTAATATATCCAATGCTGTACCACACATGCACGCTGTCTGTCAGCTTCCGCAGAGCATCGCACTGCTTGCACGCGGTGGCAATGCCTCACGCAATGCATTGCATTGAACCTGTTCACGCACTGTGTAGTTCTAAGCTACGCGCCTGTTTCGCCCTCGTCGCCGCCGCTCGGCCAGCCCTTCTGCCAAACACGCCACCCGCTGTCAACCCAGAGCCCCCAGGATAGTTGCCGTAAAACAAACCGCCGACCATTTCGCCACAACAGTGCAGGCCTTCGATCTCGGACCCGTCTTCACGTAGCACAGCAGCATTTTCGGGATTGATGGACAATCCTCCGAATGTGAAGGTGATGCCGGTGGTGACTTTGACAGCCACGAATGGGGGTTTGGTGATGAGTAATGCCCAGTTCGATTTTGCTAACGAAAGCCGCGTCGAAGAAGACTGTGTCGAGAGACCATCCTTCACCGCCGGGTTGAATTTGATATCAGGATGCTCCTTGCGATGTGCAGCGACTGCGCTGTTGTACTCGTTGACTGTCTGCACAAACTCGCCAGGATTTCGAAGTCCATCGTCCGAAAGCTTTCTTGCTAGCTCCTCGATGCTGTCGGCTTTGACCTTTCGCACAATTTCGTCTCGATATTCCTCTGTTCGAAGAAGCTGCTGGCCATCATCGTCCCATATCTGGAATGCGATGCCTTCCGCTTCTTCCAAGATAGCTCGTCCGAATTTTGCATAGGTATAATTCCTCAGATCAATGCCTTCATCCACGAATCTTCTCCCCTCTGCATTCAGCATCAACCCGAGAGGATACCCAGACTTGGTGAATTCATTCGTCTTCTCGCGATCTCCACCACTCTTCGGCGAATCCGCATCCCAAGCCACACTATGACACCCAGTCGCACTAAAGTCACCCACCCTCTTCGCCCCAAGATCCATCGCACTCTGCAACATTTCTCCAGTATTATACGGCGTGCCTCTCGTGTGCGCCAATTCCCACCCAGGGCCCATCCAACTCTTCCTCAACTCCGGACTCGCCTCAAACCCACCAGCAGCAAGAATCAAACTCCTCGTCCTCAACTGAAAAAGCTTCCCACTCCTCTCAATTTCCAACCCCTCAACTTTCCCATCGTTGCCCACTAAAATCTTCTTCGCACTGGTCTCAAAAGAAACCGTACACCCCACATCCCTCACACTCTTCACCAAAGCTTTAATAAGACCTTTCCCACCTTCAGGACAAGTCAAATGCAAACCACCCCAAAACACCCATCTCCCATCAACCCGATACGCCTGTCTCCGAAAACTCAACCACCAATCCACCCCTCCAACTTCCTTCAACCATTTCACAGTCTCCAAACTCTCACCAACCAAATACCTCCCAAGCCTCTCATCACTCCTCCCACCCGTCACCCTCTGTAAATCTTCCGTGAAATTTTGCGCAGTATACGGTGGAAGATCAATTTTCTCCCGTATTGAGTCGTCGACATTGCTGACCAGAGGTAATAAGTCGATGAGACCATTATGTTGCGTTCGATACGCTGCTGCGGTGAAGTATCCATTGCCACCAGCCCAGGCTTCGGGGGCTTTGTCTATGAGGAGAATTCTTGGAGATGGAGATGGAGACGGAGACGTTGATTCTGCGGCGGAAAGAGCTGCTGTCAAACCCGCTGCTCCTGTTCCGACGATTATGATGTCCCATTCCAGGACGTCTGTGCAGGAGGAGGAGGAGCAGGACATGGTGGTGAAGAAGATACCGTATCGTGGAGGGTGGGTGTGCAGAAGAGAAGAATTTTGATGGAGTTGAGGAGTGGAAAAGATGATGGTAGAGATTGGAAGAATGATATTGTAAAACTTACTCTCAGGCACAACAATCTTCCATGCTCCACGACTTCCCTCCGTGTTCGTTGTGCCGGATTTCCGTGTCGTCGCAGTCGTTACAATAATGTTCGAATACACCTTGCCTCCTCAAATTTCCCGCCGAGATCGGAAGGCAGACAGACACCGCGATCTTTACTCTACAAGAGTTAAAAAGTTCAAACTTCGAAGCAGCGTAATAACAATCTCCAGGCCTCGTGATAATCGTCAAAAATTTCTTTCATCGATCTTGCGATTCTAGACAATGTTTGACATTGTCATTTCGTCGTCTTGTAGTGGAAAGATTCAGCCGAGGTCGGAAGCAGAGATGACGAAGCTGAAAGTCGAATGGAAACTTGCCAAAAACACAACGCACTTGTCTCAAGATCCAATAGCCGCAATACCGGAACACATTCCCCCACAGCGGAGCCTCCACGTGTGATCCGCCACACAGAAAAAGATTTAAGAACTACGCCTTTGCGCAAGGGAGGCTGGAACTGAGCTGCTCTAAGCAAGGGGGCATGACCATACTACTGTAAGGACCGCGGAAGCTAAGTCCAACCTCACTTCGATCTCTCCGATCCACGCATCACAAACTGGTCATAATGGAAAGACGAGTGGGCGTAAATTTTGGTAGAAGGTATTTCTTGCTTTGTCCCCTGTATCGCGTAGCAACCAACACTATACCGCCGCACAGCGAACGGTTCATCCGGCGCAAAGTAAAAAGGTTATGATCACACCTGCCCATAAAGACGCCGCCGACCTCCCCTCCACCAAACAAGTCACAAACTTTCCTTCCATGCCTTGCTGCCCCAGGCCCCAACGTGTTCGCATCCACATCAATAAAGAGTATGGGTCTTGCCAATTCGGTTCGACTGAAGATGAGAGTTCATCGCCCTTCGCGCGCGCTAGAGAAACAACTTTTGGTGATGCAAACTCCACTCCAAGAGGTGCTGCACATCAGCAATGCCCCGATACAATCAAAAACCAACCCAAGTCGCTCATCATATCCAGTAGGATGATGAAGAACATGATCTATCCGGAACGCCATGCAGTGAAAACGAAGATCAAAATCCGCTAGAAGTGCAACATTAAAACACATTCACCCTTCCTAGCCACCAAGACCACACCGGCAACATCATGTGGGAGTTTCCTCCAAAATATTGCCCGTGGTCGTGATCACCAGTAATGAGCGAGCGAAACCAATTTCGCTAAATCGTATATCGTCAAAATCGTCATCGAAGCAACGTCGCTGCGTCGTTTCGTTCGACAAGGTGGGTGCAGGGTGACGGCCGAGACGATCAACTCACGGCGTTTCAGCCATGGATTGCGGTAGGTGTAGGAGTATCCGAGAGGTAACCATCACGGTGAGAGTGATAAGGATAGCCGAAGGATGCGGGGGAGGCGGCGCGTGCACCGAATCCTTGGCCGGTCATGGGCGCTGGTGACTGTGAGCGCGCCTTGAATGGACCAAGAGCAGGTGAGGGAGATACTGCTTCAATAATGCAATCGCGGTGGACGGGCGAGCAGGTACCAGACGACACTGTTGAGGCAGTGGCAGAGTCGAGCTCGTTGGTGCCGTCGGTCTGTGTGGCGGCCGCAGCATCTGGATGAGACTGTGACGGTGCAGGCTTCGGCGGGTTTACAGGCGGGGAGGTTCCGCCCTTGCCAGAACCAGAAGTAAACTGAAATGTCGGTCAGCTCTTTCGGGTGTCCTAGACCTGGGCGGTTGTGCTGGCTCGGGGGTTGGAACCTACGTAGCAGAACTTCTGGACGAGATCCTTGTATTGGTCGGAACCCATAGCAGGCCTGTCGGTGGTGATGGCATCAGGCCGTTCGGTAGTCTTCACGTCAGCTTTGGCCGGCTCAGTCCTGTCGAGCGGGCCAAAGTAGCTACCATTCGCGCCTTGCTTGGAAGCACCACTGACCAAGCCGCTTTGACGGCCGAGTGTGGTTTGTGCACTAGACAGAGCAGCAGAGAGGGATGATCCAAAGTCATAGCGACTGCCAAGTCCATTCGTCGGTGAGGTCGGGGTGGCAGCCAAGAAGGCAGATGATCTCTTGGGCTTCTGCTTTAATTTGATGGAGCCGGCCGGGTCGCCGAGGAGGCTCTCGGCTTTACCAAACGAATATGCAGATGAGGTGTCGACGCGCGTGGCAAAGTCATCGTCAAGAGTGTCTGGCTTGGCACGAGGTGCCACTGATGACGATGCATTGTGTCGGCTGCGAGGGATGGCATTGAGCGGACGCTGACCCAGAGGACTATTCTGAGACTGCTTCTTGGATTGCCTCTTGGGTTGTTCTGCACGAGCAAAGTCGATCTGGTAGTTGGTGTTATTATTGTTGTCCCAGAACTCCTTGCCACCGACGTGATAACGGACGCAGAGCAACAACGTCTTGTTCTCAATGTTGGCTTGATCTGAAAGCTTAATTTGGAAGTTGAAACGATCACACCCGTCGGTTGGCGGGCTGCGAGGATCGTTGTTGAAATCAGCCACCACTTCAGACGTCGTCTTCCAGTAATCAAGAGTGAAGCGGGCAACAACCTGCTTGTGGAAGGCGATGTTCTGGACAGCACAGACACCGACAAGAGTAGTCTTGTCTGAGGAGAGAAAGATGCGCTCCACCCGAATAGGCTTCATGCTTCGCTCAAATGTATCCTCTGGGAAGTTGGAGAGCTTGATCTGAAGTTCGGGTGGTGTAGCGGGTTCCTCCTCATTGAAAGGGAATTCGGCCTCGCTGTCGTAGGTCTCGACGGGGGAGGAGCCAGCACTGACGGCAATTGGCTTGTCAACCTGCAGGAAATGCCTGGTCTGGTTATCGCTATCGTTAAAGTGGACCGATTTGGAGTACGTCGGCGTGCCAGGCATGCTCGAATAACGCCGCCTGGACGACGGCCGCAATGCGGGTTTGACCAGTTCACCGGACTTCTTCCGTACAAGAGCCGGTTTGCACACTGCACCTTCATCGTCGCTATCATCTGAGGTGTGCGATGACGATTCTGCAAATGTCGGCAGCATCACCTTCGATTCTGTGGCAGATCGCGAGTGGGAAATCTTGCGAGCTGTGTGAGACAATGCTGTCGGCGAAGACGTCTCGGATGTAGGCAGGGAAGCGGAGTGCAGCTGCACGCCCACTTTGTCTGGCGAACCTTCCCTTTGCACATTGATGGACCGCACAGCCTGCTGCAACTGATGCCAATTCTTCTCCAACTCGCGACCTCGCTCTGCGTTCGACGTCTCATCGCCATCTGAGTTCTCTGACGAGTCCGGAGGTGACATGACGGCGCCTGTGGGGATTCGAAGGTTGTTGACGGGTGGTGGGGACTGCCTCAAGCTGCCCATTGCTGCAAAATCGTGGGATTCGACATTGGAATGTTGGCCGTTGGTCGGGGTCTGCGGCGCGCCATCCGACTTTGTTATCGAAGGTGTGCGTCGATGCTTGTGCAGGTAAGAAGCCGAGGACAGAGATCGCGGCGGTTGTGGTCTTGCGGGAGATCGTGGGAGATCATCTTGGTGATATGATGAACTGCGGCTGATGGCAGGACTGCTGTGTTTCGACGACGCAGGGGATTGCTGCGACGGCGGGGTGTAAGGCATCTCTAGAGCAGTATAGGTAGGATGCCCTCGTTCAAGGTCCAATGGACATTAAAGGCGTAAGACAAGTATCAACACACTGCCACGCACATTGGCGAATATGTCAGCGAGAAGGTTCTTTGGCGAGTGCGGCGAGGCGGCGAAGTGGGCACGGGCGAGGCAACTCACAGAATGGTAGACAAGGCGGCGAGTGTATGGTGACGACGCCGGGGGTCGAAGAGGCAGGCTGTAGGGTCGAAGGCGAGTCGGACTCGACCAATGCGCACAGCTAGTCAAAGCCGGCGTGCCGCGTGCACGGCAGCAATGGAGAGATGCGAGAGAAAGGTGCAGACGGCGAGTCGCACACTTTCCGTCGATATGCTGATGCTGGAGCTCTTCGAGAAGAGGAGAGCGGACGGGAGGAGGAGGAGGAGGGACGGCGGGGCGTGGCAATTGTGTGCTCGGCGGTGCCAAACAACCGCAGCAGATCAACTTGCAGCGCGCAGGGCAGGGCAGGGCAGGGCAGGGCAGGCAGGCGGCAGGCCAGGCGTTGCTCAACCAGACCGGGCAGCGCCTGCTCGTCGGTGTGTGGGGTGGGGTGGGGTGGCTTGTGGCAAGCGGCGGTTGGGAACTTGAAATCAGCACCGAAGCAGCGGAGACAAAGAAGCAATTCGCTCCGCTCGCAGCAGAGCCCGGGGGTGCGCGAGTATATCAAAGAGGTGCAAATTGCGGTCGGGGCCTAGAATAACGCGATGGTCCAAGAGCGGAGACGGTGCAGCACAAGTGTTGAGGCACGGAAAGTTGAACCAAAGAGTCTCTTGCATGCACATGCTGAACCCGCTGAACTCACCTGGCAGTGGAGTGCGCTGCGCATCGCTGCACTCGCATGCCGCATGCGCGAAGGTGCAGGGATCGCTCGGACGCCCGCTTCGAGCCTGGTGTGGCATCGTCGAGGTACGGAGTCGGCCTACGGCTATCTCATCGTACAGCGTCCGCTCCAGCTTCAGCTTCCCACACCTTGCAGCTATCATATGTTGGGACATGCAGCCTCGCCAAGCCCGCGATACAAGAGCGGATGCACCGGCACCGGCATCGGCACTCGTGGTGGGCGGCGCGCCAAGAGCAGCAGTGACTTGCGAGCTACAGTCCCTCTGCCGCCCGTCAATGTCCAACCGTCCAACGGCATTCTTCTGTGCTGAACAACACCGTGTCTCGTCACAACCACCGCGTCAGCCCGTGCCAATGTCCCAGCGTCGATCTGACGTCCGCTTGCAGCCAATATGACCAATATGACACACGGTGCACTGATGCTCGTCAACGCTCTCCAATATACCCAATGTGCTTGGCCCAGGCATGCTCCTTGAGAATCGCTACGCTACGGTACGTATCGACACATGTGGCGCATACCGTGGTCCTCTCTGACGACGCCTTGCCTGTTGCCGCTAAGCGCTCCCAATTTAAGCTTTCAACCGAACTGCCTGTCCGGAGCCGTGAGCGACGGACTGTCCGTTCTTCTCACAGGATCGGATGGACCTTCGTGAAAACGGGCTCCGAAGCTCTTGTGGCAAGCTCGCTGGCCTGACCGCCTACCTTCGTGCTGCTCCCTATCCCTCCCTATACACAACGTCTTGCATCTCACTCATCCCACTTGATGTGCCACGACCGCACAGCCACTGCGACTCCCGCTTTCGCTTTCGGCAGCTCGGACCAGTATTGTGGGGCGCAATAAGCAAAGCGAGAACCCGTGCTTCTGATTGGACGCCTTCTCGCCGCGCGGCTCGCGTCAATCTGCAATCAGAAATCTCTGCTCCACCGCTCATCAATCTCATGCTTGATGCTTCCACCTCCACCAGCGACAATGATGGACCATACTTCGCTGTTCGCCGCGGAGTGCAGCCTCTCACAGTGGAGCAAATTCAACGACGACGGAGGATGCCCAGATATCAAGTGCTGCACTTTGCTTCCAACATAGGCGCCTCTTCCGGTGCTTGCGTTATCCTCACGCCATGTCACTCATGAACCTGGCAGCTGCGCACACATCTCAAGCCAAGGATATCTAGCACACATACGCCTCTGTGGGATGTTGCTGCTCTCACATAAGCAGGTCCGAACTATCGTCACTTTCCTTGGACCGCACCGTCTGCAGCTTGGCCTCCGCGGCCGTCTGCTGGCCATATTCTTCCAGCATTACTGACGGCAGCAGCTCGGGTTCTTGATGAGACATACCGCCTTCTCCTTGTTCGCTGGTATCATGAGTCGTTATTACGGGCAACCCTTCGGATACATCGTCGATCACCTCTGAGAGCAATGTGCCCTTCGCCGTGCTTTGCCAACGCTGCCAGTGTGCTGGTGTTCTTTGCACTATCCTATCCCATCTTAGAGCCGGACTGCACTACTACACGTGGTCGACTGCGGCACTTACTCGCACATCGAGGTGCTCCAAATCCGACATGGGTTCACGATATCATCGACTACAGCAGTCACTCCCGAGAAGAAGCCTCTCTGTGTCTCGCCACTGCTCACGCAGTCATCATCATGCTCGTAATCACCTCGGAGTCGTGCAACTGTCACCACACGTCTTTGATCATGAGACACGTGCAATCAATGCTCGTTTGCTATAGCCTCAACTTCGTCGACCGTAGCTCAATCACACCGTAATCCCCGCTGTCCGAAGGGACAACGTGACAAAATTTCAAGACCGTCCGCAAATTAGCAACTCGGATGGCACCACCACTGCGCTCCGAGTTGAGGTTAACATGCGGCCGAAGATGATTTCGCCACACTCGTCAACACCAGATCTCCAACACTGGAAACCTGCAGGGATGCACTGCATAAGCGTGGTCTTCACCGCTTCACCGCTAATCTGAGTGAACTCTAATCCATATTAAGCAGACAATCATCTCCTCGAGCAGGAGTAGTAGAGAGGCATGCTCATCACGAAAGCCAAACGCAGCCATTTTGCGGGGTGCTCCAGAAACTCGCAGCTTTCTGCCACAGGATCGTCAGGTCCATTCATCTCACACCCAGAAGCAGTCGAGCTCCCGATACCATTAATACCGATGCTGACTTTGGTCCGAATCATCCTCATGGATTTCCAAGCTGATGATATCGATATCCCGAAGTAAGCGCGAATCAATCAAACGAGGAGATCCCGCAATATCAAAAGGTCTCAAATATGATATTGCTTATCTTCAACCATCCGCAGAAGCTGCAAGCACCTAGAAAAAAAAACGTGCTCTACCAAAGAATCGCGAACCATGATTTCACAAGTTTGGTAGGCGCGAGACTCGGCAACCCGCGAACCATTATGCAATATGCAATATACAATTATGCATCCTGTCAGACCGTTGAATCTACCGATGAATCTCACAGTACAGCTCCTCCCACTACGAGAAGACGAAGATCTTTGCAGTTGCAAATCTCACGTCTCATACCACAGGACATCTACTGAGTCAGAGACAGTGTCTCCCAGCCCCATTCTCACCGTTTCAACAAACAGCCATATTGGGAAAGCAGGGGCAGAATGTCAAACACGTAAAATAACGCGCACGGCACCGGAAATATCGCATGAATCCGAAACCCAAAGCGAGGAAACTTATCTGCAGCGTCATCATCACCACAGGTTGTTTAGTCAAATGTCTTATCAACATCCCAGATGTGTACAGTACAGTACAGTACCATGCGAGCCGCAGAAGTACCATTCGGGTACCTCTCAACGCGGCAACCTGACTTCTCCTCGCTCGCTAGCTGGCTAGATCCAAGACCCCCCTTAATAATCAAAAGCCTCGACTCCAGTTGCACAGGATATCGGGCTCCACAACATCATCCTACATAAGATCGTGCGCCGTGCCATGGGGTACATGGCCAAAACCTCTCAACCTACAGTACAGTACGGTGGGTATGGGGAAACAAGACAGTCAGGATCAGATCAGAACGGACGCAATAACATCGATGACTACTATCATGATGATATGGAATTTGTGAATTGCGATTGCGAGCAATGAGTATGATTGTTGTCTTGTTGTTGGTCCCCTCAATCTCCACACGCCATGTCCTTTCCAAGAAAAGAAACACTTTTCCCAACCGATAAGAAAGGTGGGTTTGAGATCGTAGAGCATTGCGGAGAACGCTGTCTCTTGCTTGCAGCTAATTGATATGGGTGGTCTCGATCATCATCAAAAGGGAGGGGACTGTCGACCTGCATCTTCACATGCGATTGATATTATAGAGAGGATTTACGGTATAGATTCTCCTCACCTATACCTTGCAATCGCATTATTCGAAGCTCATATCATCATGGTTGCAGTCCGGAGTCGGGCATCGTCCTGTCTGTCTGACGAGAGATTGATTGCTTCATTGTCACACAACCTCCTGCACTCCGCATTCTTCACATTTCTAAGGTTCGAGGCGAGAACACGAATGTTGCAGATAGATGTCGTGCTCGTGCAGCTCGGTGCTTGGTCAAACATGTTACAGGCGCCTCATTTTGTGAAGTCCTTGGCTACCATTGCCGCCGCCGCCGTGACATTCAGAATCGTCTCACGTTTATCAAATTCGTCATTTGATCCCGACAGTTGCATCTGTCTACAACCAATGATTGATCTCCACTTGCTCATCTCACAGACTCACACCTTGTTAGACGCGTTGTGAGCGAACGCTCAATCACCTGTTTTCGGGCCGAATGCAAGATACCGTGAAGGTTGAGTCGTGGCAAAGCGGATAGGACGGACGCCAACAAGGATTCCCGTTCATCAGACCCTTGCCTTGATCATGAGAGATTGTACTGTATACAGTATCAAAGTCCACTCTCATGCCTCGCTACTATTGAGATCCGCGAAGGATTACTCGGAATGCAGACGTATCACGATATTTTAGGCAGATCCATGTTGGAGAATGCAACCAGACTGAGGGTATGCTCGGCATAAACGAGCGGTCGGCGATCAATGACAGCAAACCAAGCAACAATTTCCTTGGAAAAGAGCCCGGTGTTTATTATTATTGTAATGCACCCCAGATTGCCACTGCGTAGACGCGCCGCGTGCGCACACATGAAAACGCCAGGCAGAGTCCTGGCAGACCAGTCGTAAGCTGAGGTGGCTTTTGTTGAGAACGCGAGCTCATGCTTGAGCTGCAGGGATTCTTGCGCCATGGATATCTAAAATGCCGGCTTCGGGACCTTGAAGGTTGTGGCCTGACAAAGCTTCGAAAGAGGTAAGTGTATAGCATTGTCTCCTATGCAGGAGGTTGATGGAAAAGGGCATCATGTCCTGGATCCACTCCCAGAGCTGATGTCCTTGTGTGGTCTGGAGCGCATATACAAATTTCGTGGGGTCGGCAGGATTGCGGGTCTTCATGGAGACTTCGGCCCATCAAACTTGACCGATTCAGACCGAGACCAGGTCATTTCTCCCGGAGCTGTTGATCAATACGGCTTGTTAGCCCCTCACCACGCAATTGATCAAGTGTCAACAGTACAGAGCACACGATGATGCAGCAGGATCAGAGCGGCTATGGCTGGTCCCTCTCCGCAGTGGCTGACATCTATCGCGCCATGGCGTAGAAAGTAGGGCAGCTTGACGTCCTTCCATGCATATTGAATTGTTGGATGGGAGTGCGGGGTGCGAATGCGATGTTGTTGTCTCCTCGCCGAGAAGAGGTGCACTGTAGCAAACAAGGAGGCTGATCATGGGCTGGCCCTGCGATTAGCATGTGAAACGCAGGGTAGCTCTTAGCAGATGCTCCTTCAGTGCTAGTAAATTAGCAGTGAGGGGATGCTTTCCTCCTAGCTTAAGCGACAGGCATATTGGGGATCAGAAAGTGCTGATGCCTCAACGCAGGGTCTCGAGCCGCCGACGGGCAGCCGCAGAGAGACCGTCGAAGGCAGAGATGAACGTACCCCAGGACCGAGGAGATACGTACCTTTCCAGACACAACGACTTTTGATGAGAGGCTGGGCGTTGGGCAGATGCTTTGCAACGCAACACATGATGAGTTGCGGGGCATTGATGGCGGGGCCAGGGTCGACGTGGTGGAGGGTACAAAGATGCATGCTGCGCTCAGCGGCGGACATTGAGGTGGCGTCTGCAAGACACAAGTCCAGACTTCGACCCACGGCGAAGGAAGGCGAAGGGCGACGGCAAGAAGTCCTTGACCTTTGTCAGCCGTCGTACTGTACAAGCCGATGTGAGGTGTGAAGCGTAAGAAGTGTGAGGTGAGGTCATCACAGTGCTTGTTGGCTTGGACCTGCTGAATTCCTTGGCTGCGAGCTCTGACACGTGACGTGTCAGAGATGAGGCTCTGCGGTCATCGCCGCCGAGACCGTGCTTACTAAAACCTCGATGCCGCACCGGCCGAGGTGATGTCGAGAAATGTTTTGTCAAGCCAGGCCATTGATGGAGTAGCAGTAACCACTACTGAATATCATCTTGGAACTAGCTAAAAAATACCGATAATACCTCTGCACATCACTTCCAGGCGATGATGAATCCCAAGAATACCACACTGAAAGTCGCAATGGCATCACGAACCTTCCTCCAACAACTCTCACGAACACGAGCACCTGTGCGATTCGCCTCTCCACCATCCATCCTTTCACCCAGCAGGAATCTCCGCTTCTACAGCTCCTCTGCAGTCGAAGCCCCTGACTATCTCAACGCCAACGAACGCCGCGTCTTCAACCTCGTGAAAGAAGGTCTATCCCCCTCAAAACTCGAAGTTGAAGACATCTCAGGAGGCTGCGGAAGCATGTACGCCCTGGACATCGTTTCCGAGAAATTCACAGGACTACCTGTAATAAAACAACATCGACTGGTAAATCAGGTTTTAGGGGAAGAGATCAAGAAGTGGCATGGGGTGCAGCTGAACACCAAGGCGCCGTGATTAGAGCGGTGTGAAGCGGAGCGGGAAATGTGGCTGGTGAATAGGCATGGCAGAGACTTAAGAGGAACAGATATTGCTTGCCGCCATGCATATGCAAGTTCGCAGTCCGCGATCAGATGGCGGTGAAGGACGTGGCTTGTTAGATGAGCTACACCGGACCCTAGGCCGAGCTTGTCTGATACAACGTGCAGGATTGAAGGGGTCTCAGAAGGGAACCGGGAAACTCGCAAACGCGGCATCCCCATCAATGGCCCTAGGGCTCACTTTCACCTGGACGGCGCATTAGGAGCTTTCGAAACCAGGCTGCCGGCTGACCGCTTCGAATTCGAAGGAGCCGAACAGTCCAGACTCCACTTCAAAGCATAACTCTCCACGCCCCGCGGCTATTGCGATACGCGTTAAGAGACAACGTTAAGGATTGTAGCATACCCAGCAGGTATTATTATTCAGCTGCCGCCGAGCGCGTCTGGCGCTTGATTCTGTTCGTCATGCATCATGAGTATCATCTGCCCCTATGTCTCTGAACTGGTCGGACGTCTACCCAGCGTCAGTATTCGATGTGACGCCCTCAGCTATGCTCCTTGCACGGAGCGATCGATCCAATCTTGTGACATTCACCGGACCTCGATCTTATTAATCTCTTGCTTGGCCTTTCCCCACTCGTCCAAACTCTTCTTCGACCATTCAATATGCGATTTTGCAAAGCTCATCTTTTTCAAGTCAGCATTTGACAAAAGGCTTATTTAGACTTCACTCACCATATACATGCGCAAGTCCTCCTCCTTCTGACCCTGGAATCTTCGCAGATCTTGCAAGACTCCCGAGCTGGCGTCCTTCACATCTCGTTGCGACACTTCAAGGGCCTGCTCGAGCTGCACAAGGCTCTCCTTCGTCTTGCCTAGATCATCTCTTCTTGCGCGCTCCGGATCTTGGTCGGTGACTCCCTGAATGGCATGTGTCAAGCGACCGAAAAGCTTGTTGGCGACGCCGCTGGGCCCTCTTCTGTGGCCACCATTCGGTGGTGACTGTGGCGGGACAGAGTACGAATTATCTTGAGGGCCGCCTTGTTCCGCACTCGGAACATTATGTCCTTGACCTGGAGGGAAATCGCTGTCCACGGACGCGTTGTCGCCATCGCTCGATCCTGGTCGATTTCTGTTACCGCCGCGGCTCGTACTCCTCTGCGGCGTGTACTGTGCCGTGTTGATTCCAGAAGAGGTCATGTACTGCTCTATTCGTTTGGCCTCGAGTTCGCTGCGCTCAAGTTGCTCAAGTCTTGACTTCTTCTTCTCAAGCTCATCTCTAGTCATTTCCTCCTGCACCCGCTTCATGACACGATATTTGAGCACGCTTCGCACAACACTTGCGAATTGTGCGCTTTCGCGCATCGGCTCGGCGAAGCCTGCACTCAGCGCGTGAGAAAGATCGCGCGACTGGATATATGTAAAGTCGCATGCTTGACCTGCCTTCTCTATCGCCATAGCCACGCTTTGTGATTGTTCTGACAAGGAGAAGGCGTTATAGCGGGCGCCAAGATCCATCAAGTCCTCTCCGAGACTGGCCATATGCCGTAGCAGTCGCGCATTGACTTTCTCCATAGATCCAGTGAGAAGTGTCTCCAGCTCTTTTGAGCTGTTCTCAAAAGATGAGAAGTAGGGGTCAAGCTCGCTCTCGCTCAAAGTCTGATTGAGTGGTGGAAAACGCGCAAATTGAACATCGGGCGTGCTATGTGCAGCTGCCGATGGGAATGCTGATGCTCGCGGAGGTGATGTAGGTGTGCCGGAAGCCGAGGAGCCAGATGCTGATCGCAGCTTTGCATTTGAAGCTGGAATTGGAAGCCATTGGTGTGCTTGAGTTGGATTCGCCGGGTCGAGCGGCGGTGCCTTCAAGTTGTTCTTGGGCACACTGGCAGCTGGGTGAGAGTGAAGCACCTCGTTCCAGCTCACGTTGGGATCCAAGAACCTCCACCATACACCGTCCTCTCGCACCGCTTTCATGCGCCTGCAGCGATTCAAAAAGGTCGTCAGCATGCGTTGCCGCAGCTCTATTATGCCCGCATCTTCCTTTGCTTTCGTAGGCTTCGCAGCGTAGTCGGCTATGCTGTGCTTCTCTGGTATTGGGGGGATGACCAATGTCGGATGCAGACTGACCAAAGTCTGTCGCAGAGACGCGAACTCTGAGTACCGTCGCCGCACTTCGATCTCTCCTGTGCGAATCGTATACGTAATGAATCCCCCTCCACCTTCGGTATTCTTGCCAGCATGGACAATCTGGATGTCTAGGTCGGGGTGCTCGTAGAGAATCTGCTCTATCCTGCTATCGTAGCCGCCCTCCTTCGGTTGTACCTTCGCACCTGTAGGCCGGTCATCGTCAAGCTCTTCGTCGCTCAGGTCGCTTGGCCGCGATATAAAGGCTGGAGCTAAGGCTGGCGAGGAGTGTCCAGATGGTGGGGTTGATGGGCGGTTAAATCCTCCTTAAGCATAGTGTTAGTTGTATACTGGAGCTGTGAGCTGTCTGTAGGTATGAACAAGGTAGACAAACGCTCTGTGGGCGACTGAATGTCGCTGTTCTCCGAGTCGCGACGGTGGAATGATCCATATGGGTTGTTGTCCTCGTCGTCCCACATCTTCTCTGCGCCGAGTATGTAAGGCTCAACGTCCACAAAAGACTCAACTGAGTCAGTCGGCGATGCTGGTCGTGAGGGCTGCTCAGTCGATCGAGTCGCAAGTGGTATCACTACTGCTGTTAGAAGTCCGAGCCTTCTCGTGTTTGAGCTCGAGCTGATCATCGCTCCCTGCCGCCTGCCTCATGACATAATGCGCCAAGCCATAGCCAGTACCCAGTGAACCTACCATCATTGTTGTTCTGTTCGACATCGACATTGACATCGACAGCGACAACGCTTGCCCATACCTCGCAACCCTCCATTGGCGAGGCGCTGTTTGCCAAAAGGTACACCGTAACGTTGAGATCCCAAGGTAGGTCTGGAAGTAAGTCGAGTTGAAAGATTCGCGTGGAAACCTCACTCGGCCATCACTACAAATCTCGAGGCACATGGAAAAGCCCAAGCTCGGACGTTGGCGAGCAGTGAATGAGACTGACAATTGCTGTCAGAGCTCATTCACTTTTGCGGAATTCATTGATGCATCGCCGTTTGCTATGCACTGGCGTTTTCCCGTCTCTTCATCCTCAACTGTCCTCTCCTTCCTCATCACAAACGTTCAGACGTACCCATCCAACATTTCGGTCGACCTGTCTCATCAAAGACCTCACTCTCCATACACCTCAGCTCCAACATGACGAGCGACACCACGCCCTCTATTGTCCGCTTCTACGGTCCAGAGAAGGCAAAAGACTCAGAAGGCCGCACACTTGATAACATCCTCCAATTCAACGATCGCGCCCTGGAATACCACCACGATTACATCCAAGTCCTGTTTCCCCTACCCGAACGCTCTCCGATCAACCCACATGCTCCAATCATCACCAAAGCTGTCCGGGATGCCTTCGCCCAAGATGAAGATCTGAGAGAACAGCTCTTTACTGCCTTCAAGCGGATGGCCGATTTCTACGCCTTCGACCTGACCGGCACGAAAGATGTCCCCAAAATCTCTCCAAAGGCAGATAACTTCAAGAAGTTGGCGAGCAATAGCTGGTTGACTAGTATGGATCACAACCACCTACGCATCACACGTATCATCAGGTAAGCATTGTTTTATGCATCGAGTTTCTGCTTTTCTAACTCCACATGCCATAGGTGTCTGCGCGTCCTGGGTCTTGAACCCGTCGCTAGAGGCTTCTACGAGGCACTGAAGAAATACGAGGAGGGTCGGGTCAGTCGCAGAAGTCTGATGTACTGGCAACGTGCTGCTGAGAGACCACTCCATCTGCCGCCTGATGAGTCGAATGATGACGCGGCTGGTGTTGCGTGGCTTAGGGATTAGCGACTCCATTGTGCGTTTCCAGCGGTGCTTGATGAGTCCAGCCTCGAGCACCTTGCGTGGACCGGGCATATCAATTACAGGTGAAGACATGACCTGGTATTGACTTACTGGGTAAACAGGTCAAAGATTGCTGATGCCACGACTTCAATGAATTCTACGTGCGACTACTTAAAGCACATCCAAACGGAATCAATTAAATGCAGTATTTCCCAATTCTCAATTCTCATAACTCGTGATCTGTTCATTACATTCCATGCACCATAAGCGGCGTCTTCTAATCTATACAGTCTGTCCCGACGCCTCGCTCGCTCGCTCAAACGCAGTCACAAAGTCATCCCACCATAGACCAGTATCTTACATTTCCCCCTCCTCTTTATCATCCCATTCAATTCCCATAACTTACACGTCCTCTGTCTCTTCATCTTCAATCAGATATCATGTCTCGCAAACTTACTCGCCATCCTCAACCTCTCACCATACTTATAAATCAAAATCGGCATCGGAATGAAAGCAATCGCCAAAAATCCCAACATCGAACACCCCCAATCAATACCCATATTCTTATACATTTGCGTCGCGAATATCGGGAACGCTCCTCCAAATGCCGCTCTCATGAAATCGTTTCCAGCCAAAACCGATCCGACGACCTTAGGATATGCATCAGATTGGTAAGATAATAGAGCGTTGAAGAGCAGACCGGCACCGACAGAGAAGAATACACTTCCAATAATCGGCATGATCCAATGGATGGATTGCCTGGAGCTCCAGCCAAACCAGAACAAGCAGACAGGTAAGAACAAAGATCCCACGATCGCGGCCGGGAGACGTTTCTCAGGTTTGATCGTTCCGTCATCGTTGGTGTGAGGGTTGATGTATTTGTGAATCCAGTAGAAGTACGGTGGAGTGAAGAGCACACATCCGACCAAGAGACCCAGATACGCAAGGCCTTGGGATCCGAGATCGAAACCATATATTCCTCCGAAGACTAAAGGAAATGCTTCGAACCAGCAGTAGAGGAGTGCGTAGATGAGACCGAGATAGGTGTTTTGTGCCAGTAGGATAGGTTCTGAGAAGAGTAGCTGGAAAGGTCGGACGAGAGACATGACGACCAGATCCTTAGGATTCAATTTCTCGGCTTCGATTTCTGCTGAGCAGCGATATTTCGCTTCACCAGTCATTTTGCGGATTCGTGCTGCACGGCGGAGGAGGATGTTATCTCCGGAAGTTTCGGGTAGGCCAAAGATGAGGAGGACCGCGCAGAAAGCGTTCAACCAGATGAGTTCCCAAATCGACCATTTCCATCCTTTGGCCTGGACTGCGAAACCTGCTACCAAAGGACCTATGACTGGACCTAAGATTGCGAAATTCCCCCAAATTCCGATCGCGTAGGTGACCTTCTTTGGTGACCAGACGTCAGCGAGAGTGGAGCCACCAAGGGCTAGGACTGGGGATCCGAAGAAGCCTGTAAGGAAGCGGAAGGCGAGAAGCATTCCGATGTTTTTCGCATAGACGACGCCGAAGTTGAGGAAGAGGAAGGCCAGATGTGTGATGATGTAGACTGGCATTCGACCTATGGGCGGTGCTTCGGCGAAAGGTGCGAGGATCATGGGACCGAGACCGTAGCCGAAGACGAACATTGAGAGACCTAGGGTCGCGACTGTGTGGGAGACATTGAATTTTTCTGAAATGCCGATGATGCCTGTTGCGTAAATTGCGGAGCCGATATAGATGGAGAAGGTCAGGATGCATATAAGGGCCGTGATGAAGACTCTGGTTACTAGAGACCAGTTGTGGGGGTTGTCTGGGTCATCGGGACCGTTCCAGTCGACTAGTTCTGCTGTTGCGCCTTTCTCTGCGATTTCTGCTAGTGTGGAGATGTCTGAGTTCACTGAACGCCGACTCATAGTCCTGTTGATTGTTGGCCTGCGTTCGAGAACGTCTTTGGTTGGAATCTGTGGTGCGGGTGGTGCGAATAACTTGGCGCCGGGGAGGAGTTGCAATGTCCTCCCAGCGAACGTTTCCGCGAACAAGGCTCTTGGTGTAGCCATTGTGAATGGTGGCAAAGCCGCTCGTGCTCAAGTCCTGGATTCAATATTGTCTCTCGATCTGTGCGGCTGATCTGGAAGGGTCTCTAGACGAAGAAGAACCTGGTAAGTAGACAAAGGATATGCTTGATGGATCTCGCGTCCACGACTGAGGCAGAGAACATCATACTTATACATACGGAAGCCAGCAGGACCTGGCTGCTGGAATACTTGCCCGTCATCCGACGCCGTATAAGGGGGTTTGCTGACATCACCATGTTCCACGTCGAGGCTATGCAAGATGGACCACGGGTTCGGATTCTCTGAAATCATAGTCATCTTGTCTGTAGCAGACTTGCTGCGGTGGTGATGGACTCTTCGGTGGCTCGGGAGAACGACGCGCAGCACTGCTCTGATGAAACTCTAAACTTTCTGGCTGACTGAGCGGAAGCCGGGACTTCAAATCCATGCTACCCGGCCCGGCTGAAGGAGACCCTGCGTCAGATTTGATGAAGAGATCTCCAGCTGTTCCGGAGCCGCGGCAACTGCATGACGTAGCCAACTCTTCACCTGAGCATGAGGAGCCAAGTACTATGTAGCTGGATCTTGTTAGCCACGTGTGTTCAGAAGATTGTGCGTGAAGTGGCACGTTTGGTGAGACTCTTGTTCCTGCAAATGTGAAGTGATCTGGATTAGTCCAACCTGTACTTGAACCTAATAAAGAACCCATATGGGTATCATGCGTACTCCAGAATGAACGCCGTGCCATGCCAATGCATCCATCCTGGTCGTAATGCCCATCATTCATACATACAAAAGTTGTGAGGAGCTGATTTCAAAAAGCACAAAACGTCACGCGGCAAGCATTATTGCCCGCGGTTGATGTTCTGCCTGGCCTTCATCATTTCGATCCTGGCCTTCAGATTTTGCGTGACTTCAGCTGCTCTTCGCCAGCTCTCTTGCCCATCGCCTTGGCTCCCTCGAAGACTGCTGCTGCCATTGATGGTACCGCCATCCTCGCCCAATGCGGGAGTTGCGCGACCGCCAGAAGAGCCATTGCTCATGGGTCTGCTATCGCTCCGCTCGCCTAGTCCGCCTCTTAGCTTTCCCTCGGATGCGGTGCGAGGATGATTCTCCTTACCTTCGATTCCATCGATGCTGCCGTAATTTCGGGCCGGTGGAAGATGATATGATCTACTAGATGCGTACACCGGACGGGGTGATGTACTTCCTCCATTCCATGCTGACTCGATCGGGCTGTCTCTACCAGCCTGGGTTCGGCTCAATCTCGATATCTCACGCTTCAGACGATCAATCTCTCGACTAAGCGTGTTCGCTCGGTCTTCTGCAGACTCTGCGTCGGACCGAGCACGGACAAGCTGGGTTTCCTTGGCTTTGATTTGAAGCACATCGCGAGTGTGATCCTCAATAAGCTGAGCATTCTGCACCTGCAGCTCTGCGATCTGTGAACTCATCTTAAGTTTCTCGTTTCGCAGGTCGGAGGCTTGCTGTCGGACGAGGTCGACTTCTGCACGGAGTGCGTCCAGCTCTTGACGCTCTACACTCGAGAGTCCACTCGAAACGTGATCCAATGACCGTTGTGGTTGTGGAGGTGATGTGGCCGCTGCTGAAGGCTTCGCGAGTGGTCGACCAGCCAAGCCTCTTCCTAATCCCGCCTTAGGCGTGGCAGGAGCTGGTGGAGGCTCATCGTAGACCACACCAGCACGTTTCGGCGAGGCGGCCCCAGCGGCCGATGAGGCTTTGAGACCGGGCTTTGCCAACCCACTACCTGGCGCCTTCAGACCTGTGCCAGGAGGTCGCAGTCCACCAGCAGGCTTACCAACAGGTCTGCTCGTAGGACGTGGTTGCAGAGGAGCATCTTCTGCCGGAGGAGATGTCACTCTTGGGGGTGCTGGCTTCTTTGCTCCAGCTGGGGCAGGCCTCTTCGAACCTAGTGCAGGCTTCTTGGCACCTGGACCACCTGCAGCTCTTGCTGGGGGTGCTGCTGTCTTCGGCTTCCACTTGGCTTTCACTTCAGCTGCATCTGAAAACTCCTTGACTTTGTTCTTCTTGATATCGTCGAGTCCGTCGAGATGAGCAAGCATGTTGCGATCGCCCATTATCTTCCAGAGAACGCCAAGGATTTCGCATCCAGCATCTCGGAGAGGGGCTGCGCTTTCTGTGAGCAATTTCTTGGCCCCCTCTGCCAATTCTTTTGTCTGCTCAGGCGTTGGTGCTTCCCGCGTCGTCTTCAGACACCGTGCAAGGAATTTGGCGCTGTTCTCCTTGACTTGAGGGTTCTTGTTCTTAAGACCTTCCAGGACATCAGCCTGCACATCGCCGAGACCTGTAGCCATGAACACGGCATCGCAAGCAGCGCCGATAGCATCTGTTACTGACGCCTTCTTCTCCTTGAAGCGTTCCAGCATTGGCGCGAGAATCTGACTGCGGTACTTGCCAAATGACTTTCGCAAGCCCTTTGCCAGGCACTCAACGACGTTTGCTGCGACCGTAACTACCGCAATGTTTGCATCCTTCATGCTCTTGGCACACGCTCGAATAATGTCGTCGAACGAACCTTCCTGGATGGCAGGGACGTTGACAGCCGCAAAAGTTTCGTCCAAAGCCTCTTTCCTGTCTTTCCATTTGGTGCTTGCGAGCCGGTCGTTGAAATCCTTGGGCACTTTGGCGAGCACGTCTACTGCTTCAAATTCAGGCTCAAGGTCGATCTCGCCACCATCTTCAGCCTCCTCCTCTCCCCCTGCTGCGGCTTCTTCGACCTCTCGTTCTTTTGCAGCCTGTTGTGATCGAAGCAAGCGCTCTTGTCTGGGAGCTGGTTCGGATTTTACAGGCTCAAATAGCTTGTCTAGATCCTTCTGCTGTACCTCCTTGAGCTCGTTCCAGAAGAGAGGCTTCATAGGTTCTTTCAGCCATCTGTAGAGCTCGACAGTGAGAGCTTGTGCTTGCGCTCGCACATTCTTGTCTGCGTGGCCGAACACCTTTGGTAGCAATTTTATCACCGGCTTTGGCTCGACCGTCTTGCAACCGTAGGCATGATAGACCTCTCTTAGCGCATCCAATGCTGCGACGATCATTTTGGGCGTCTTATGAGACAAATACGGCAGTACCTCGTCTATCACGGGATCCGGCTTATCCAGTTCGATCAGCAGCAATATCGACTCCAGCGCTGAAGCCTTGGCGGCCGGTCTTCCAGTCAGACCCTTCTCCACCGCTGGACCTACGGTTACGCCTCTTGTCTTTCGCGCTCCATCTGTGCCTGCCGCATCGAGGAAGGCATTGTATGCGTTGAGCGCTTCCTGCTGTGCTGCTGCGTTTGCGTCGCCTACCGCGCCTTTCCACAAGCCGCTGTCTAGCGTGAACTCGCGCACGATCGGGTCTGAAGGCTGTGCGGTCTTGAACTCTTTTGTTGCTGTTTCGTAGCCGCCCTTTCGCGCCTTCCAGTTCTTGTGTTGAAATTGGTCGGTGAGCGGCAGTTGCGCCCACTCCTCTTCTTCGCCCATGACGGCGGTCGTGGGGTTTTGGTAGTGTGTCGCGCGGTAGAGGTTTGTCGGGAGTGAAGGTCTGAGTCGTTGCAAAAATAATAGTAGATGAACCTTCTGCGGCTTCGCGCTTGCTGTTCAGGGGAGAAATGTCGCGAGTCGTGCAAGTGCGAGCAGTTGCATTAGCAGGCGCTGTTTACGCTGTCGTGCGTAGCTAGTAGCAACCACGGTACTAGGCAGGTGCGGGACGGTCGCGGCAGGAAGCGAGCAGGGGTCCATGGGCCGCGACGGGGGCACGTATAAAGTCCCATACCACCGTCCGAGCGTCGCTTGTACTAAGAATAAGCTCGGCCTGCCGCAGCGGACTCGGTAAGATATAGAAGTCCGCTCCGTAGTATGCGTAACTATAGAAAACGTAATCTCGTCGTCGCTACGCGTCGTAGTTACTAGGTCGACGGTAGTAGTAGTAGTAGTAGTAGTAGTACGATTTCCGCTAGTATACTAAATATTGCGAATAAGAGGTCGTATAGTCGCAATTTAATAGATTTCGTACTATTTTAATAGATTTTAACGACCTCTATATCTCTACTAATAGATACTAAGTATATTACTAAAAATAAAGCTAAAGTTTATTAGTAAAATAGCGGTATAGCAAAAAGTAAGGTATTATTAGCGATTATTAACAAATTAATAGCAGTAATATATATTAGAAAGCAGCGGTATATAAGGTATACTACTATAGACCTATATCGTACTCGGATCGTTACTCTACTACTTATTTTAGTAAGGAAAGTAGCTATATAGCGCTAGTAGAGTTAACGAAGGCATTTAATAGCTATAAGTTACCTCCGCGGCGGCTTATAAAGGAAAACGCGTAGAGAACGCGTCGGTACTACCTAGAACTACTAACGCCGCTTCTTTACTAAGATTTAGTAGAACTAGCGCCGCTAGTATTTAGTTAGGTATATATAACTTCTCTACCTATTTCTTCGACCTCTTCTTACTCGTAGTATCTACGCTCTTATCTACGCTCTTACTCTTCCGCTTCTTTAGCGATAGCGCTATATCGTTAGTCGCTTTCGGATAGTAATAGCTCGATATAATATCGCTTAGTAATAGCGCTTATAATAGCTTCGGCGGCGCTTTTATTAGTACGAAAATAGCGTCTAGATATATAGTCTTAAAGTAAGTAAGGACTAGCTTAGTAAAGCCCTTCCTAATGTTATTACCGCTCTCGTAGAAGACTATTAGTATCTTCGAGATAATAACTTTACGTTGCTTATCGCTCTCGTCTATGCCTTATTAGTCGTATAAGCGCTTAAGTTAGAAGATTAACTCGTACGCGTTAGTAAGTACCTCGCGGACGTTTAATCGATAGGTAGGCGTATACGCTGCCGCCGCCTTAGTAGTAGCGTCTTCTTATACCGCTATTAACTTAGAAGCGTCTTCTTTGTAGACCTCGAGAGCGCGTCTAGCGAATATATTAATCTATTATTACTAGTAATAATCCTTAATAATAACGCGTTTAAGTATAAGGTAATAATACTAGAGGTTAGCGTAAAGGGTATAGTATTAGCGGAAGAATTTGTAGTTATAGGTAAGCGCGCCTGCCTCCTTAGTTAATAATAGCTTCGGGTTTTAGTATACGAACTTGTCGAGAACGCGATTAATCTTAGTACTAATCTTGCGCTAAATAGGCTATAGAAGGCATAGAAGCTAGGTCTAGAGCTCGTCGTCGTCGCTACGTATAAGTAGGTATACGTTTAATACCTAACGCTTGCTAGTAATGTCCGACCGAAGGTCTCTAAGCTCGCCCTCTTATATTATATATATCGCTACGCTCTTTAGTATAAAGTTAGCTACTTGTTACGGTTACTCGCGACAGATCGTTAGGTAACTTCTTATTACGTGCAAGCCGAGGCTTCTTTAGAGAGGCTAATACAAGCGGGAGGCAGAGACAGAATAATTAGTATAAAGGTAATTCTAATTAGTAAGTAGGTAATATAAGTTAAACGCCTCGAGCTATAAGGGCATTCCGGCGTTCCTAAATATAAAGGAGACATCTTGTCTGTAGTCGTAAGCGACGTAAGCGACGCTATCGCTCTCGACCGCTCCTATCGCTCCTAGTAAGATAGAGCGATAGCTTAGCCTACTAGTCTTAGCGTCGCTCTAAGATTATATAAGGACTCTAACTAATTAGATCCGTAATACTATCCCCCTCCTTAAGCGGGATAGTCCCTTATTCCGGAACTTTCTAATTCTAACTTCTTTGCTATACTAAAGTTATTAAAGGACTTGTCTTCTCGTTAGCGTAAGGAAAATATCGCAAATAATATCCTTACCGACTGCTTCGAAATGCCGATCCGCTGCTTTTATTACGAATAGGCCGATAAATCCTACAAAGTCGATCTCCGTTCTAGCCGCTGCTCCGAGTGCGCCCTATACGGCTAGTCCTGTAATATACAAGTTACTCGTATAGAATATAAAAAAATCCGGAAGGCGCGCCTAAAGATAGCTAAAGATCTCGAAGCGGCCGAAGAGGAGGAAGACCTCCTTACGCGGAAGCTTTTCGAGCATCGCGTAAAGGTCCGTCGCTTACGTAAGTCGCTGCGTATAAAGGAAGATCGGGAGGTATAAGCTCTTAAGGTAGAGGAAGCCTCTATTTAATAGGCGGAGGAGCTCGAAAGAAAGCTAGGCTCTTCGCCTATAGAGCCGATAATATTCTCGTTGCCTACTAACGAGCCGTTTCCCCTAGATAGCCGATTATAGATGTCGCCTTATAACTAGAGTCGTCTAGATAGGACGTCCTAGCCTATCTCTGAAATTCCTAGTAGGAGTGCCGAGAGTCTAGTGTCTTAAAGGTATATATTTTTAATATTTCCTATCTATTTCATCTTCTAGCTAGTTAGTCTAGTAGTATAATTCTTAGCTATAAAAGACATAGTTACTAGGTACGCTATTAGAGTCCCCGCTCCTCGAGCTATACTGCCCTAGGTCGTTAAGAACTCTAAGGCGCTATAATCGATAGGGTCTAAGAGGTCGTAGGTTTAATTCCTATACTAGTTATTTCTTTTTTGTCCGGTTTTGATATTTTTTAATTATCTGCTAATAGTTCTATAGGTTTTCTTTTAGTTCCTAGGTGTTTTCTAAATGTAGGTATCCTTTCCATTTAATAAGGTATTTCTAACCTTGCTAATCTAGGATTTCCTCGACTTCAAACTCGTTTTCTTCCTTAGGTTAGAAGTGAAATGTTTCTTAATACGGTGTTTCGGCGTCTGTAGGTTCTAGTATAGAGATATAGAATACTAGGTGGATTTTCGCGTCGTCCGGTAGTTTGAGTCGGTAGTTAACTAGTCCTTTAGGCTCATTAATTAGAAATAGCCCGACTTTAACGTAGTCTAGTTTCTTAGTCGATCTCCGGGTTTTTAGATTCTTTGTTAGGAGGTAGACCTTATCCCCCTTCTTTAGCTAAGGTGCTATTTTTCGTTTAGTATTATATAGCCCCGTAATCTTTTCTTAAGACTCGGCAATTGCCCTTTGCAATTCCTTATATACCTGCTTCAAGTGTTCTAAAGCGACTATCGCTTTATCCGCGTATAGATACTATAAATACTATTCCCCGAATAGCTACGGATGTTTCCTAAAATTAGCGAAGAATAGTGTCTCTTTCGTAGTCTTAGATTGTTGGTTGTTTAGTGTAAGTTGTGCTATAGGCAATAGCGATGCCTAATTGTTTTATACGTAATTAACGTAGTGCCGTAAGTATACCTCTAAGGCCTAATTCTTAACTTCCGTTTAGCCGTCTATCTATAGATAGTATGCCGTTAATAGCTTGTACTTAATTCTAAGCGTCGCTATAAGCGTCTTCTAGTAGTTTAACGTAAAGAGCTTGTCTCTGTCCGTAATATAGGTCTTTAGAAATCCGTAGTATCGTACAAGTCTATCTAGTACGAGGTATCCGAGTTGCTCTGCCGTACTTGCTTCGTTAGTAGGAATAAAGTGTGCGTATTTCGTAAGCCTATCGACTATAACAAGTATTATATCGTAGCTATGTCCTATAACCGGATCCTTAGACTTTGGTAGTTTCGTAATAAAGTCTATTGTAACTTCGTCCTATAGTTTATCTAGTAGCGTCCTAAATTGGATATGTCTATATTTAGCGTATCTATCAGCCTTGTTACGCTAACATTGTAGACATTTCTTAATATATTCTAGAACTCGTTATCGTATGTATAGGAATCCGAAGCTTCGCTTAACTAGTTCTATTGTTTTTAAAACTCTAGGGTGTCTATTTTCTAGTCCGTTATAGTATTGTTATATACACTCCGTAACTCGTTCCTTAGGTACTTAGTATTTCCTATATTCGATTAGGAACTGTTCTTCTATATCCTAAAGAACTCGTATAATATAGTTAAATTCTTTTGTATTAGTACTAAGGCTTCCGTCTTAGTTTGCTTTTAATATCTGCTGCTATACTAGTTCGTAACCTTCTATATAGTCGCTACGGCGGCTTAGTGCGTCGGCTCGTCCGTTCTCGCGTCCTAGGGTATAGCGGATTTCGAACTTGTACTGCCCTAGTAGTTCCGACTAGCGGGCCTATCTTCGGGTTAGTACTTTAGTCGTAGTAAAGTAAGTTAGATTCTTATAATTAGAAAGAATCGTAAGACTCGGTACTCCTTCCGCGTATACTCGCTAGTATTGTAGTAATGCAACTATTGTAAGTAGCTCCTTATTATAGATATCGTAGTTCTGTTCCGCGGGTAATATCTTTCTCGAGTAATAGGCTACCGGGTATCGTTTCCCGTTATGCTCCTATATAAGGCATGCTCCTATAGCCCTATCCGACGCGTCTGTTTCTATCTAGACCGCCTTACTCCTATCGAATAATCGTAGCGTTAGCGCAGAAACGCATTACTTCTTTAGCTGCCTAAACGCTTCGTCTTCCTTCGTGCTCTAGTTCTATTTCTTGTCTTTCTTTATAAGCTCTGTAAGGGGTGCCGCTGTCTTAGAGTAGCCCTCGATAAATTTTCTATTATAGTTAGCTAATTCTAGGAATAATTGTACGTCTTTAACGTATATAGGCGCTAGCTATTCCTATATTAACTTGGTTTTTTCTAGATCGATCCTAATTCCTATAGTACTAATAATAAATCCTAGGAATTTAACTTCCTTCTTATAGAATTCGCATTTCTTAGGTGCAGTCTTAAATCCTACTTGAGTAAATCGTTTAAAGACGTCCTACACTATTCGTATATAGTCCGCGAGAGCTCCTTTAGTATAGACTAAGATATCGTCTATATATGCGATAACGCATATATCTAGAAGGTCTCGGAGGACTTCGTTTACAAGGTCTTAATATAACGCTAGGGCATTTGTAAGTCCTATAGGTATAACTAAGAATTCGTAAAGCCTATATCTTGTTCGGAATGCTGTTATCTATTCGTATCTAGCTACTATACGTATTGCGTAAAACGTATCGCGTAGGTTAATCTTCGTATACTAGTCTAATCTAGTTAATCGGTCTTGCATTTCTTCGATGTTCGGTAGTAGGTACCGATTCTTAATTGTAATGTCGTTAAGTCGTCTAAAATCGACTACTAGCCGTCCTTCGTCTGATCCGGCTTTCGGAACGAACATTACTAGTAAGGCTGCCGAGGATATCGACTTCCGTATCTAGCCTTTTTCTAATTTCTCTTTTAGCTACTTGTCTAGGGTTTTGAGCTCTTTCTTAGACATTGCGTATAAGGGTCCCTATAGAGGCTCTTTCCTAGGCTGTAAGTGTATTTTATAATCCTATAGTTGGTGTTTAGGTAAGGCTGCCTTGCCTCTCTCCTCTTTAAAGAGTCGCTTCTACTTAGTATACTCTTTAGGAATATCTAGGTCCGAGATTCTAGCTTTATTCTTCGATAGCGTATAACTTCTATCCTTCCCGTAATTATTATTATAACCCTCCTAACCTAACGGTAGTATCGATCCGGGTTAAATACGGTTCTCCGTAATTCCTATCGACGTAAACGTCTTACGAATCGCCCTACGTTTATCAATCTTATCTGCCTGCGAACGCTGCCGCTATATAGGTTGAATACCGATTATATAGTCGCATTCCTTAAATGTAAGTACTCCTTTTCTCTAGTCTACGACTAGGTTATACTTTCTTAACTAAGGTATACCTAATACAATGTTATAACTGGCTATATTAGTAATATCTAAGACAATCTCCTCGTAGTACTGTTAGATAGCTAGTAGTAACGGTATCGTTTCTCGTTCTATACTAGGTAGCGGTAACCTATCTACTACTATAAGTTTATACGCTCCTTCTCTTCTGCTTCGGGTTGCGATCCCTCGGCTTTTAACGAATAATTCGGAGGCAAAGTTCCCGCTCGCTCCGGAATCTATTAATGCACTCGTTAGGTGCCCGTTAACGATAACTTTTATACGGAAGACTACTATTAATGCTTAAGCGCTTTCGGTATTAAGGAACTCTCTTAGAACGCTCTAATCTAGAGAGTTAGTCCGTTTCCCGACTAATTAGTAGCCTAACGTTGTTCTAACTAGTTACGGATCCGTAGTCCTACCGTTCGTGCTTCTTCGGTATATAATTTTTCCTCGAGGGTATCGTTATATATATCCCGTCCCTACGCTACTATAGCCTTTCGGTATTACTAATTTAATCGCTAGACCGTCTAACGCATTTCTTAAGTAATAATCGTCCTTTCGTCGGGTAGGACGTATCTATAGGGCGTAATTGTGCTTCCTATCGGTACTCGCTCCGTAATGAAGTTATAGTACGTATAGTTTATAGGTATCCGGGGGTGATTCTAGAATTTTGCCCGTAAGCTTATCTAGAAATAATTAAATTAGATAGGATCGACCCTCCGTTGTCCGTTAACCTTTAGAAACATTTCCTCGTATTTGCGTACTAGATATAAGGCGATTGTTCGCGCTGCTATAGGTACATCTATTGTAAACGTAAGGATCGTATCGTCGTTAATCCCGAATTCGTCTTTACTTTCTTTATTCGTAGTTTCTTCCTCGGTATCTAGACTTCCTTCTAAATCTTCTTGCTGTTCCTCCTCTTACTAAGGGGACTCCGGTACTTCTAGGATAGCTCCTAACTCCTCCCCGGGAGGGAATAAAGCTTCCGGATCTCGGTTTTCTTTATCGTTAGTATCTAAGCAAGATTTATTAATCGTTTCTTCTTCTAACTAGGATTTCGCATCTTCTCGTACGAGTCGCCTAATCTAAGGGAAGAATCCTGCTTCTACTTTAGTAGAATAATGAATTTGGTATTAGTCGTCGTAATAGAATCTCTAGTAAAGGGCTCTATATATAGGTTCTTGTCGTCGTGCTATTATACAGATTTGTCGTAGCTCTTTCTTTACGACCTTTGCGTAGGTCCTCGGCGCGTTATTAATAGAGTATAGCTCTACTACTATTCGGTAGCCTTCTCTGCCCGAGTCCTTTCGTTATATTATATTAAACTGTTCGCGTTGCACTATATTCTTACCGCGGCAGTTCCGTACTATATAGCCTTCCTTGCTATACGTATAGTAAGTTAATCTTCCTGCTTTCTTAGGCGAACTCTTGCCTTTTCTTCCTTTAATTGCTCGACCCTTCTAGGTAGCGTCTAGCTCTATTAGTTACGCACCGTAGTAGTTGTTCCCCTTTAGTTTATCGTAGGTACTATAGTTTCGTCTATTATCGTATCTAGGAGTATAACTAGCTTTTCTAGAAGTTTTAGAATCGTAACGTCGTTCTAAAGCTCGTTCGTAGAGCCTATCGTCGAGATCGATCGTAACCTTAACTAATGTTCCTATATTATCCATTTTTCTACCGTCGCGTATAAGCTCGTCTTTAACGTTATCCTTAAGACCTCGCCGGTATATTGTTATAAGAGCTTCATCGTCCTAATCCGTAAGTTAGGCGTATTCCTGAAATTTAGCGGCGTAATCGGTATATAACCCCTTCTAAGTTAAATGTTAGATAACCCTAACTACGGTAGCAACTTCGTTAGAAGATCTAAAGACCTTCTTTATCGTACGCTTGAGATTTTCGTAGCTTGCGAAGATTCTATCCGAATTGTCGGTCCCGTTACTATCTAGATAGGTCCTAAGAAACGGTTTAACCTAATGCTAAGCCCTACCTCGTATAAACGTCGTTGCGAAGACTAGCTTTAAGTTATCTTAAACCTAGTTAAATATAAAATATATATCCATCTAGCTAACCTAGGTATCGAACTTGTCTCGGTCGCCGTAATAAAAGTCTAGCTTTCCGATCTTAAGAGAATCGTTTCCGGTATAGGTTCCGAGTATATTGCTAGCACTAGAGGTAGTACGTCGAGTACTACCTATCTCGCTAGGGGCGGGAGTTCCCCTTCCGACTTGTAATAAGGCACTTATCCTAAGGGCGTTTAAAGTATTATAGTTACTCGCGACAGATCGTTAGGTGACTTCTTATTACGTATAAGCCGAGGCTTCTTTAGAGAGGCTAATACAAGCGGGAGGCAGAGACAGAATAATTAGTACAAAGGTAATTCTAATTAGTAAGTAGGTAATATAAGTTGAACGCCTCGAGCTATAAGGGTATTCCGGCGTTCCTAAATACAAAGGAGACATCTTGTCTATAGTCGTAAGCGACGTAAGCGACGCTGTCGCTCTCGACCGCTCCTATCGCTCCTAGTAAGATAGAGCGACAGCTTAGCCTACTAGTCTTAGCGTCGCTCTAAGATTATGTAAGGACTCTAACTAATTAGATCCGTAACACTACTATTAGCGACTTATTACTATCTATTTTAAAATACGCGTAAAAGCTCTTATTTATATTAGTATCCTTATATTATCTAACGATAGTAGGCACGTTACAAACGCGATAGTAGTTTACCTATAGGCGAATATCGCTATCGAAGTTTTATACTAAATAGATATAGTTTAACTCGTAATCGCTATTTCGAGGGAGGTTATCGATAGCAGCTTAGAGCGACTCTTTCGCGCCTTCGAGTAAGTAGCGATAAACAACGGCGGCGCGAAGGTATTTATATGTCTCTTAGTAGATTTTCGCGCTAAAGCGTCTATCGATAGTGCGCTAAACGTAGATATAGTATAGAAGGTATATTGTCGTCGGAAATGCTATATAAACAGCGCGTTGCTCGGCCGCCGAGTCGTCTATAAGGAGGAATTTAGGTACCTAAATACCGCCTATCTACCTACTTATAGTACGTAAAAACTCCGCTATAATATCGCCGTCGTTAGTAGGTAAAAGTATATATACCGCTATACGAGAAATGCTATATTTGTCCTTTACTATAATAGTATAAAGGAACTAACTAAGGTAATTAGTCTTATACGTCGCGTCTATAAACGCAATTATACGATAGGCTTTTAGTAGTTCTATACTAGTTTTACTAGTATATACGACGCCGTAGGTAGTCTCTTTATTAATTTAGCGTATAGCCTCTATATTCTCGCAAAATAGCCCTTCTATAATAATGTATTAGCAGTTATTATAATAAAAAACTAGAATTAAAACAAATAAGAATCCTAAGATTTAGGGTTCGGGCTTGCTAAGGCGCGCTAGAAGCCGGACCGAGCTTATACCGTAGCTCCTAAATTATCTTATTAGCTCGAAGCTAAGGCTCTACGGCGCTACCGCTTTAAGCGAAGAACTTTAAAGATTTCGAGAATCTTTAAAATTCTAGCTTTTATATCGAGAATTCGCTAGCAATCGAGTCTAATAGCTTCCTCGAGGGACTAAATAAGCTAAGCGGGGTTATACGTTAATCTATTAGTTAATCGGAGTCCGGATACGCGGATGCGACGGTCCGTATAGCTATTCTATCGACTTTACGTCTAACTTTAATAATAATAATAAGATTAACTAACCTTATTAATACTACTCGAATATATCTTCTTTCTATGTTTACTATACTAGCGACGCGCCGCCGAGCCTTCTATCCTTATATACCTTCCGGAAGGCGCGACTAGAATTTAGTACGTCGTATTTTATTATAAAATTGCCGCCGGCGGCCTTAAATAGCGCGTTCGCTACTAGGTCGTACTAAGCCTTTAGTATCTTCTATACCGTACTCGGCTTATATCTATAGTATACCTCGTACCTTGTAGTAGTTAATAAAGTACTATACCGGCGGAAGAGGTTAAAGTTGTCGAGCTAGCAGCAATTCGAGTAATTCTCGCGGCTTGTCCGCTAAACTCGATATACGACAATCTCCGGCTTACTAGACTCCTTATATTCTTTACTATATATAGTGTATATCTTTATAGTTATAGGATAACCTTACGCGCGTTTAATCTTCTTATTAAAGCGCCGCGTGCTGTGTCCTTTGGTCCTATCCGACTTCTAGTACGGTTGTTTACGAAAGTAGCAAATATAACGCGTCGTTTCTAACCTACTCTTCTTAATATAGTCCTTATTCTTCGTCTATATATTATTAATATATAGCAATAACGCGTACTATTGCTTCGCTAGTACCTTAAACGAGTCGTCGAAGCCGTATAGAATAGCTTATTCGCGCTACTTATAAAGGTTATCGATATATAGTAAGGACGCGTAGTACGAGTCTAGCTTTACTAGAACTCGAGACTTTCGAGGGCGGCGATAGTCTAAGGAAACTAACGCGTTTTTATTACTAGAATTAACTGAATCGTCCCTTTTTTCCTTTTTTAATAAAAAGTTGGTATTCCGACCGCGCTCTACTCTCGTCGTAATCTTATACCTAGCGCGAAGTTACCTTATACCTGCGACGCTAGTATACTATCCCTACCTCCTCCGAGGTAGTTAGCAATTAATATAGTATTAGAAGAGATTAAAGGTATAATTTAAATAATAGAAGAGATAGAAACAATAGTAGAATAGTTAAAACAGCGATAGTAAGGTACGATAGCGAGGTAGAAAACAATAACCCAAACAAAGACCGGCGCGTAGACGCGCCGGAGCGGAAGCGCATACAATCTACACCGACCGCCGCTCTGCAAGGTCTACGGCCCTGGCTTACAGTGGGTCAGGCGCTCGGACGCTGGTATGGGACTTTATACGCCTCCTGCCAAGAGGTATCGACCACTATAGCTATTCAGGGAGCCGCAGTGACTACCTTAGTCCACTGGTTTTATGTATAATATGGTTTGTATGTCTACATCTCTATGCCCTTCGCCAGTTGAGTCTCGACCGACCCGTTCTGGATACTAGTCTCACTCTTTACCACTGCTCATAGACTTGACGATTTTGAAGATGGTTTCCTACATGGCCACTTGCACTGACGGCGAGTCTTATTCCGTTCGAGTCTGCTTATTGACCACTTCAAATTCATGAAACACTGGGTACGGTGGCCGACGCCCAGATAAAGTCCGTTCTCGAAAATGTTGCGACCGTCCAGATGGCCATCCTTCCAAGAACTCGGCAGCCACAAAGTAGTAGATGCGGTCACGGAGCTCGCGTGGCAGCTGAAGTAGCAGAGAAAGCCTTCCGGCCGAGGAGTGTCGCTACAGAGCAGAATTGAATGTATGCTAGTGTCTCTGGCATACAATCTGGTGATTAGGGCCCGAATTCACTGGCACCCTTCCATCGCTCATCTATCAAGGTCGGTACCCTGTGTCCACTTTTCGGCTGACAAGCACGCCATGTCTCTGAAGGACTGCGTTGCACGCACAGCTTCATATTTGCAACTTGATCGTACATCGCCAGCCCTACGACGTCTTGACTCTCGAACGTCATAGGTGTCACCATCCCATTCTTCTTGTCCGCAGCTGTCCATGCACCAAAGAATACCGGATCGGGATGAGTATCAAGGATCTCCGTGAGGGCGATAGACATAACCGCATTCTCAACGCCTGCATAGATATAGGGCGAAGGTGGCGAGGAAGAGGCGAGATTGTAAATACTGCTCTCGATCGATCGATTGCGTGTCCAGCCATTGCCACGTGAAGTAAACCCAGCTTGAGAACTGTTGGGTTGAAGGAAGATGTTGTAGTCACTAGAGGGATCCATAGGCGCCTCTTTGGCTGACGATTGATTTGCAGCGTCAAGATGGCTGTAGCACTTGGCGCCCAGGCGCAAATCGAATACCTTGAGCAAGTTGTGTCGGCTTGTACCTGCGACTAGACGCTCGCGTCCTTGAGGCAAGATACTGTAGATGGCACTGTCATCCGCAATATCGACGTAGACTTGCTCAACCTCGCGATTTGATCTCAGATCGTGTAGTCGAACAATGCCATCATAGGCGCCAGAAAGGAAGACAGTGCCGTCGCCCGCCGACCCATTGCTCGAAGGAAGTGGCACAATCGAGTAGACGGACGAGTAAGGCTTCTTTGTCTCATCGACCCTGCTTAAGTCACTTCTCAAACCAAGCTTTCGCGAAGCCTCTCGCGAAAGTCCTGCCTCAGTGATGGAATAGATGTGAATGGGCTCGTCAGATGGTCCGGCCCCAACAGCCAGGGAGGACGGTGAAAGGAACGTCGTGGCCCAAGCTCTGTGGTTCGGCGAAGGATGCCCATCTGGACGGAGACCAGGCTTTATATCCAGCTGAGTCGACGGGCAGATTTTGGGCTTTTCGGGATCAACTCCGTAGAGAACGATGCTAGAATCACCTAGATTTGCTGCCAGCAGATCTTGTTGGCCCTCTCTCGGTAGAAGGCTACTAGAACGTACTGCTAGTCCCTGAGTGGCGAAGTATGTCATACGGACATCCTGGTCGTATTCGTCGTCGGGATCTGGTAGACTCACCAATTGCAGATCACCATTCGCAGTGCCACTGATGAGCTTCTGCTTGCCGTCGTCATCATTTTGGTCTGGCCTTAGTAGGTGAAGTGCAGTAACGTCGTCACGTCCTTCGTTGGCAGAGAGTGGCCTGTATGTAGTCCATCTTACCTGTCTGCGGTCAGCATAAGTTTCTCACATTGAAATCATATTCCGCTGTTTCGTTTCAAATCAAGTGCAGCGTCTCCAGCGCAGGATTGAAGTTTGATGTGCACCAGTGCACAATTCCGCCATATGGCAGGTGTTCCGACGCGTCCAAGGTGCCGTTTTTTGCAGACACGACAGAATCGCACGGCCGACCAAAGTGCTAGAAGGTTGATCACTCAAGGTTGTATTGCGGGAGCATGTCTACGATGCTCCATCCATTTCTAGACTCACATCATCTCTGCCATGTGCGCGATTTGTATGCCGCACACAGATCTCTGCACCAGCACTAAACGCCAGCGTCTCTTGACGGTCTTGCCACCTTGGCCCAATCTCTTCGTAGACATCGAGCTGAGGTGTAAAGCCTATTGTCTGGCCTCTGGGCCGCCTCCAGCTGTCGCTATGCTTGCGTCCCGGGAAGGCTGTGATACTGCCTCGGGGCTCCACGTATCGGGCGACAAATGCACGTTTGTCCCATGCCTTGGATAGTGTACTCAAGGAACGCGCTGTGTCCCTGAACGAAGGCGACTCAAGCGGGCATATCGAAGGGAAACGATTGCGTGCGAACGATTTCCAGGCGTCTTTGGCGACGAATGCGTGCAAGCTCTTGTTGCAGCGCGCTAGGGATGCAACGGACGATGCGGTTTGAAGATAGTGTCCGATATGGTCCCAGAGCTCAGGTGGCAGGTCAGTCAGTGTTGTACGACGCTTCGTCTCGGAAGCGTTCATGATAGAACTAAGGAACAATAGCGGTCGTGATGCTACAGCAGTCAGCCAACGCGGACGTGGGCTCGCATGAGCTTTTGAGCCGCGGCAACACCACGGGACGGGTATTCTACGGGGTTTTCGAGCCGCGGGCCAGTCCCACAGTATGCACTAGTATGATACAGTATGTATTCTACAATCCTCTTCCCCCTCCTTCCGTTTCACGATAAAGGAAGCGACGGTGAAGGAAGCGACATTCAAGACGCTCAGGCTGTTCTACTGTATGAGAATGCACGTGGCAACGAGTGTATTCTCAATTTGCTCCTCAGATACTCCGTCTATTCTTCCCAAAATCGAATGAAATCTAGTCTCTATCCATGTAGCTTGTCGCCGATCCAACCAACGAGGGTTTTCCCGGCGTTGTAAATTTTCTTGATATCAGTGCCCGTCAGTTGTCCTCGCTTCTCCAACCCTTCTGCAAGTGGTCAACACACCTAACGGAAAACCTGGGAGAATTTATTGGACATTACCGACCAGTCTCAAGATCGCGCTTGCGGACTATGCTGATGGGCTCGGTAACAGGGCCAATGAATGCGCCTGCTTCTGCATCGCGTGCGGCGAGAGCAAGGGCGCGAGCTTGGCGACGGGTGAGCTTTGCAGTGGAGGCGTCGGTGGTGGCCTCCTTTGCGGTATCCTCAGCATCGGCAACTGTATCGGCTTCTACCTTCATCATGTTCGCCATCTCCTAGAGAGCGATTGGTGAAAAATTTCAAGGTACCGCCTACAGTATAGGTACTAGCTATAGGTACCTTGAGAGGGGCCATGGTGGCCTCGAGGTCATCCATCAGTTTGGCAGAAGCCTTCTGCTCGGCTTTGATCATTGGAGCAAACTGGTTGCTCTCGGCTTCGAGAGCAGGCCCAATCTTCTTCACCTCGTCTGCGACTTTGGCATCCGTAGCAGCATCGCCTGTGAATTCGGTCTCGACAACTACTGGGCTACGCTTGATCGGTTCCGAGTCTTGGAATAGTTGAATCCTGAGGCATGTGCCTAGGTCCGTGCACACACGCGGCACCCTATTTAGCGACTTCTCGCTTCTTCCGCAGATACTCAATCAACTATCGAACACACACTTCAAGTAGTTATAAGCCCTCGACTGCTACCGCAGACCTAATTAAGACTAAACACCCTCCTACGCAAAGCAGGGGGTACGAACAAGACCTAACTAAAACCGATAACTAAATAGCTAAGATAGCTATTTCCGACTCGACCGCGACTATCGCGACTAGCGGCATTCGCAAACTAACACCTACTAACTATCCCCTCTAGAGCGTCGATATTAAAGCTCTTCTACGCCGCTCTAAGCTACTAAGATATACGACAACTAATAGAGCTACTATATTAAAAGAAGGCCTAGACGACTACGACGACAAAGTAGCGGATACGGCAGACCTAATTACCCTTATATTAAGCGACTCGATTAAGAGCCGCTTATCTATAGATAACTTTAATAATAGCTATAAGCTAATAGCTAAGATTAAGGCTATATACTAGCTAGATACAGAAACTAAGTACTTCTTATTATAGAAAGAGCTCTTTAAGCTAAAGTACGACGGCAAGGATATTAAGGTCTATATTGCAAAGATCCGGACACTTAGCGACCGCATTAAGTTATTTAATACTAAGCTAACTGCTAATAAGCGTAACCTGCTTATTCTACTAATAACAGTTAGCCCCTATTACGATACACTTACTAACTACTAGACTGTTAATTTAAAGGATATAACATTCGATAAGGCCTATACTAATCTACGCGACGATTGCCGTAGATAGCTTGCTTTAGACCTAATAATCTAGGCTAATATAGCTAAGAAGGACGACAACAAGAATACCGACAAGTAGTACTATAACTACTATAAGAAGAAGCATAGTCTAACCTGCTTTAAGAAGAACCCTAAACTAGCGCCTAACTAGTATAAGAATCTTAACTAACAAGCCGCTAATTTAGCTATTACTATACTAGAGAATAACCCTCGACCTAGTTTAGAGCTAGCAACTAGTAAGAACTAGGCCTTCTAAACCGACTAAACCTAACCGACTAAACCTAAACGACTAAACGGCTGCTTTAAGCACCTACCTACAAGAAGCAGGGGGTATCGTAGCTACTAACTTAACCGCAATTAATACTAACCTACTAGAAGTAGGGGGTGCGGCGGCTAACTAACTAAACTAAACAACTATTATAAGGGTAAGATGCCTAGGTTACTAAATTAACTAAACAACTAATAAAAGGCATAATGCCTAGGTTGCTAACTAAATTGACTGAACAACTAATAAAGGGTATAATACCTAGGTTGCTAACTAAACTAAATAGCTATTATAAGGGCAAGAAGCCTAGGCTATTAACTAACTAAATAGCTATTGTAAGGGCAAGAAGCCTAGGCTATTGACTGATACCTCTTTGTTTGATTTGAGCGACTTTATATTTACCAACGTGCCTTGCATATACACGAGGGGGTAAGTTGAATCCTGAGGCATATGCCTAGGTCCGTATACACACGCGGCACCCTATTTAGCGACTTCTCGCTTCTTCCGTAGACACTCAATCAACCATCGAACACACACTTCAAGTGGAATACCTTCATTCCCTTTGGTGGTCTAATGACGGAGCGCTTTATGAAAGATAAGCATGTGAGACTTAGGCGGGCTGACAACGTACCTCAACTACTGGTGTAGCAAGGCATTGCGTAGCACAGAGGGCCAAGAAGGCCATAACAGCAAAGGAATGCATGGTGTTGAAAGAGAGTCTGTCGACGAATCCGCTGGTCCTTCTGGTCTTGTTGCAAGTTGCAAGTTGCTGATGATCTTGTTATTGACCGTCTCAAAGGCACCTTATATGCTGCCTCAGAATTCTCTAGCCGTCAAGTTCTCTCTGGCTGCTCACGTCCCTTCCTCTCTTGGTGTGGTCGCACTTCTTCGACATGGTGGCACTAAGAGGGTCTCCAATCGTGCCTGGTTCCACCGCACACCGAGTCCATCCAGGAATTTACATCAGGAAAGCACCGAAGAGAATCTGCCAACGCCGTCTCTCTGCTTCAAGATCCGGGAAATGGGACCTGTTGACCAAACTGGCTAGCACCGCAGTAACTCGGAAGCTGTCATGACATTAAGACTCAGGATGCAGAGGCGATGGAAAGAAACCGGAGGTTGTTTATTTGACAGCTGAGAGGTATCCAAATTCATGGAAATCTGCCTTCATCATCAGTAGAAGGAGATCGTGGAGATCGTCACTGGGTTGTGCTTAAAGTGGCTGTACCTGGGTTTTCAAACCTTCCGGGCTTCCCTGCGAAGAGAAAATGCTATTCTATGTCAGCCGCACCAAAGTCGATTTGTCCATGTATCAATAGAGATGAGAGGCTTTGGATGATTCGGGATCTGCAGTGGAATATTTCATATTCAGGTGATCTACAACTCAGAAGTCGCCTGATAATTTATTCGTCTTGTGAAGCCAAGATTTGACAATGGTGGTTCCAAAGACCGCATTGCGCCGAAAGGTGTGCCACCTTCTGAAACGATGGAATACATGCTTCTAGTATCAGCGGGATGAAGAACGTCAAGGCAGAGCTTGAAGGCCTTATGTGAAGCTTGAGTAGTTGGCAGCAAGTATACTTTGATCATGGCTTACCGCGCCGTAACAGACTGTCACTCGACAAAGCGTGCTGAGTCTGTATTGCAATCAATAGACTATTCAAGCATTCGGCTCGTATCAATCTTCGTCCCACGCCGCACACCCGGAGGAGCGATGACAGATGCATCCCAGATCATCCGATCAGAGTAGAGTCTATAGCAGGCGCATGGTCCGGTAAGCGTGCAAGTTTTGGAAGTTCTCCTCGATGTCCACGTGCGAGTTAGTTCGGAGGCTCGGTACAGGGTAGCCACCAGTAAGAGACGGAAGTTGTTTGCGACACTCTTCAAGGAGAACCAGGAAGTCGACCCCAAAGCTCTGGCAAATCAAGCAGAACCCCGAACAAGACGCCGTAGAATGTCGTGAGCGGAATTGATAGCCTTTGCAAGGATCACAAGTACCTTTACATAAGCCAAGTGCAAGCAGCGAAGTGGATGACAGAAGGGAGCCCTGCATGGTTTTGAGGCCTCAAAATGGTTCACTCGCTGGCGTTGCATGCTTCAGCACATCATGGCATCCTCATGTAGTGAAAGCGCAGCATAGCAAGGCTGGGATCGCGCTGATGTATAGTGCCTCAACGACCAAATTTTATCAAGCGCATGGCTCTGTTCAGCGCAGTGTGAATATCTATACAACCATCAACCTCGTCGAGAACGGATCAGAAGACCTCTAATCTCCCTTTCGCCTCGCCGGACTCCCAGACCTATTTGCAGGAGTCAAGTCGGGCACATCATTCCAGTACGACGTACTGCCCATCGTTCTGAGAATCTGCTGCTGTGGTCGCCGCGGTTCCTCCTCATCAGTGTTATAATCCACATATCCATCTTTCCTCCTATCTAGAGGCTGCATCTGTACACACGAACCGGGAGGCGGAGCATTGGTCGCTGTGCCGTTCATGTGTGGCGGTGCGATATTCCTGGCTTGATTCACGAATCCTTGGCCGGGCTGCCATTTTAGGTCGTTTCGTGGTGGTGGTCCAGGTAGAGGTTGCATATATGTTGGATGGCCGGCCTGATTATTCCAGTATGCTTCTTCTCGCATTCTTTGCTCGCGCTCGCGAGCGATGCGGTCTTTCGCTTCGTGGAACTTGGGACTCGTCTCCCACTGCCAGCCATCGCCCGTCGTATTGCAGATTGGTAGGAACCAATACTTTGGGTCGGGACCCATGACATGGACGACATTTCGCTTCCACCCGAGGTCAAAAGCGTTTGGCAGCTTTTCGCTGTCTACTTCATCGAGATAGTTCTGATATCGCTCCTGCTCCCGCTGAGCTTCCATGGAAGCATATGAGCGCTGCAAACTCTGATGTGCAGGTGACGAGCTTGCTGCGGCCGGAGGCGGGACTGGTGATGTGTTCCGAGAGTTATGCAAAGACACATCTCCCTCCTCTGGTCTGAGCACTCCGGGCAGCGCATTCGCATGAATCTCCTTCAGCCGATCCGTCACTGATTGAGTGTTCGGCGAAGCTGCTCCAGAACTGCTGCCCTCAGCTGTCAGGCCATGTCGATTGGGGTCATTCAGCTGATTCTCCATACTTTTCTTCAGTGGACTCAGATATCTTGTCTTCTCCAGACTCTCGATCGTGGTCTGTCCACTCAGCAACAAGTAGATATGCCATCCAGTAAAACCAGAAAGGACTAGTCCTATTATTCCTCCGAGAACGGAAAGCAAGATGGTATTAACGACCAACATGCCTTGCATAGTTTGCACACGATCATTGAACTCCTGCCAGACCCACCATGCACTGACCAAGAAATCCGTCCAGCAGAACAGGCTCGTGTAAACCAAGAATAGTATAAAGGCCTTGTAATTGCGCAAGCCAACACAGGTCGCAAGCCAAGGACAATGATGGTCCATTTTCAGAACACATTTCCGACAAGTCGAACAGTGATGTGCTCGATCTGGTTTCACGCTGTTGCATTTCTTGCAGTATCTCGGCTTTCCCGTGCTCTTCGCAGTAACAGATCCATTCATCCATTCACGAGGAACGGTCGCAGCTTCCTGAACATCCTCATCTTCATACTGCGGAAGTCCTTCGTAGTCTCCTCTTCTCCCACTGCCTCCATGTCTCATGCCACTCCCTTTTGGACCATCAATCGGAGAGCCTGGATCGGTGAAGACTGCGATCGTGTAGCTGACATTCGCTAGTGAGTAGAGGAGTATGCCGATACCTGCGCGTATGTATGGTGCCCAGTCACTGTATGTCGCGCCTATGAAGCTGACATTCACTTCAACGTATACTGCCCAAGAAGTGAGACCATACACGAAGACTAGCGGGAAGTATGCGAAGGTCGTACAGCAACATCGTTCAATATTTCGTGCCCAGGACTTCCTACGTCGGTGGAAAGGCGGAGATCGTGTTGTCGTGGGAGCTGCAAGCGTTGGCATCGAATCGAAAGAGGATGCCATAACGGAGGACTATCGCGGACACGCTGAAGGAAGGAGCATGTTGGGCCACTTTCCAGCGTGTGTATATGGTCTTGATTCCGTGAATGTGGATAGTGGATGCCTGTTGTCGTCGTTCAAGAAATGTCGTAAGCAAGTCCAAGAAAAGCGTTTGAATCTTGCTTGAAGCTGCACCACGAGGAGACGCACAGCCGCGCCTGGCTACTAAACCGAGCCCCAGCTACCCGCCCGAGCCCCAGCATATCCCGAGATTACGAGATCGGCTGTTCTATACATAATCGCGTGTAGAAGCGGATAATCGCGTCGCTGCATGCCCCGCCAGCCGGGCAACCACTGCAATACTGCTGCTAGCTATAAAGCCAAAGTTTGTTAGCAAATTAGTAGTATAGCAAAATTAAAGGTATTGTTAGTTATTAGCTATCTACTTAGGCCTAAGCGGATTACGACCTGCCGCCTTGTAACTACGCGAGGCTATATATACTAGCTTATACTAGTCTCTTAGTTACTAACTAGTATACTACTGCTACTAAGTAAACTAATAGTACTATTACTATAGTACCTAGTAATAGAGCAGCCTTCCTACTAGCTATATAAGCGACTACTAGTACTATTACTAAGCAGCCTATCGTTATTGTTGCTTATATAATGCCGCCTACTAGCGGCTATAGTCTGCTTATTACCTCGCTCGCTCTTCTTCGGCCTATACTCGAGCGTTTTTACGAGCTCGGAGGTCTTTAATCTCTCGGCGAAGTGAATCTAGCTTAGAAGGAGGTTCGTTATAGAAACTTTTTTACCGATCGCGACGATCCTATTAATAGGATCGCTTAGGATCCTTAGGATCCTTAGGATTATACGTTAAAGATCTTGTCTAATAGGATTGTTGCGATCTAGAAATTCTAGCAAATCTATTCGTAGTAAGAATTTTATTCTTTACCGTCCGACTCGTATATCGAGTCGGGCTCGAGTCGTCGTATATGCTAGTACTAGCATTTAAATTATATTTTCTATCGGATCTGTATATTATACAATTATTGCTTCTACTAATATCTAACGTTTATACGTATACTCGGGTAACTACTAGCATTTGCATACGTCTACTACGTATACTAAGTTAGTACTAACTTAGCAACCGACTTGTATAGTATTAATAGATTTCGTTATATTATATAGGGCATCTATTTATTATAGTTAATAAGAATGTATTCTATTCGTCCTCTACGGCTATATTAAAGCGATATACCTCTACCTTCTTTCGTTTGTTTCCTTTCGACTTCTTCTTCTTTTTTACTATATATCTCCTAATTCTTCGATCCTATATCTCCTCGTTAAATACTATCTCCTTAACTTTGCCGCCGTCCGCCTCTATATCCGCCTACTATATCTACTCCCCCTCTTCTAGCCCTAATATATCCCTAACGCGATTACTTACCGCTGCGAATAAAGTCTTGTCTATTATATAAGACTAGTCGGAATACCTACTATTCTTATAGTAATTAGCGCGCAATCCTTCCCTATTGCTATTACCGCGGTATATCTATACCTTTAGTATTAATTGTCTTTAGTTCTATTATATTCTATTGTCTCGGTTGTACTTGTACCGTTGCCTCCTTATACCGAAGCAAACGGATTAGTAGCCCCCGTCGGCTCCTAATCTGTCGCTTAGAAACTGCTCTATAGTATAGGCAGTCTAATATCGTTTTTCTTAGGTAGGGCCTCCGCCTCCGCTAACCTATCTATCGCATTGTCGCCGGCTTTAAGTTGTTTACTTAATTATTGCCCGGCAGACGCTTTAGGACCTGTCGATTATATTAGCAGGTAAGAGAAATACGGCGCTCGTAGACTACTCTTACTATAGCGCTTAATCGATCCGCCTTTATCGTCGGAATCTAAAATAACGTCGATTGCTATAAGTGCATCGATGTCGTTACGTACGCTCTCGAAGTTATTTATTAATAATTTAGGGGTATCCTATGCTCTGCCTATATACCGTACGTATATCTTCTACGCTTTTAACAACCGAAGGTTACGAGTAGCTTAATCCGTCGTATTCTACGCAGTTATCCGATCTAGGAACGGCTAGTATATTAACTTATAATCTAGGGCTAGCTAGATCGCTTTATCTCTAACTTTAGTTAAATACGACTCTATCGACTATCCGTTAGTATTCTACTAAGTACCGTAGCGGTAGACAATATTATAAAAGAGGTAACTTTGTAGTAGTACTATTTAATATATATCTTCTAGCTTCGCCGATCCTACCGGAGTAGCATATCCGCTAGACATTTGTATATAAGCTTACTAAGGTAGTGCGTAGCATATATCGACCGTTAGCTATTATCTAGTAACTATGCTATTTTAGAGAGGGTCTTACTAGTTTCTCGTCGTAGCACTCGAAGATTTAGTTATCGAGTATCCTCTTAGCGTATGCTATCCTTTTTAGAGTGTCGGTTATTGCGATCGGTGCTTGGTTTATTAATATTAATCGGATATAGGTATTAATATAGCCTCGCTCCTTTCGTATAGCTTCTTATAACTATTCTAATATTAGTCTCGATGCTATTATATCGGGATCTCTACCGACTGCTTAGACTACGTCTCTCGACGGTATATAGCTACCCGGCTATAGCGCTATTATACGTAAAGCTAGTAATCGATCGTAGTTTTTACTATATATCTCCTTAATTGTTTCGTCTACCTATACTAGGGTTTAGGTAGTAGGAAACATCGTCTTATATTCTCGGGCCCTAGTTAACGTAATAGCGAATAGTTTACGACGCGTCTCGTTATATAAGATTTGCTCCCTTGCTTCGAGTAAGCCCTTCTTTCGATTTAAACGTTCTTTACTAGAAGTCGTTAAGCCTTTGTCTCGCTTCTTACGTCGTTTTAATAGCTTTGCATCGTCGCTCTAATCCGCCCTATCGTCGCCGTACTTCCGTTTTAGCCTTACCGGATCTTTGCTATTCTTGCCCTTGTGCTAGTTACGTTAGTCCTCTGTTACCGTACTCTAGTATACGTTACCTTTAAAAATTTCGATCTAATACTAGTCGCTATATATAAACGAGTATCCTCCCTGTTTTCTTCTTCGAATCTAGTATCCCTATCCGACTCTATTAAGTTAGATAACGACTTAGTTCTATATTTATCTTCTTCGTAGTTGCGACCTATCCTAAGTATACTATAACGAGTAGTAGTATTGTTGCGAATCTAACGTAGTATATATTAGACTATACGCGTTTTCGTACTTGTTTACCCTACGAAAAGGGGGGCATTAAATTGCGGTTTCATCTTCTGCTCCTATATAGACTGCCCGAGTCGCTGTCTATAATCGCTTATTAGTCCTATCGGATATGCCCCGCTAACGCTAAAGCATAATCGTAGCCTATAGACTGTTCGCTATTTTCGTACCTTATCGACGCTAGCCCGATTCGGTCGCAAGTCGGATTCGGGAACTATTAATCTAGCGCTATTATTAGTCTAGCGGTAATTATTGCAGTCTATGCCGACGGTATATAGTAACACTATCGACATTGCACTAAAGTAATCGGCGTATTTAGACTATTTATTCCTCGCTTAGTCGCTACTACGGTATATATAGATATATGTTCTTTATCGGTAAATTAATCGGCGTTAGCTAATCCGCTAGGTCGAATATATACCTTCGAAGCCGCCTCGCAGCATTACGGGTTAGTTAGAACTATCTCTATCGGCGTGTTTAGCCAATTCGAGGTTAATAATACCGTAGAGGCCCTATACTCGATAGATGCAATTCTAACTAGATTAGCTAGAGGTATGCAATCTACCCTAGTACGACGACTGCTAGTCGCAGCCGATTTAGCCTTTCCTTAACTATCGCGCTACCCCGAGTCCGCTATCGCTGCAGCGCGATTAGGGTGCTTAAATATAGGCCGAGATTAAATAGATAAAGGAAGAGATCGCGGCGCTTAAGACTACTATACGTAATATGCTTACTATATATTAGTATATGTCTAAGATTAAAGCGTAGTGCTTATCGTAGTCGGGGCATCTTGCCTTCTATTTAATAAATAGATTAGTGCCTATTACTATTAGAGTAGGACTTCTATATCGGACTTAGTAAAATTAATTATTTATCTTGCTTTTCTACGTTTATATTTACGCTCGTTCTGCCTCCTTAATTTGCCTATAGATTGCAAATCGTAGCTGCAGGCCTCTGCCTAATATATCGGATAGACTAGCCCTCTACTATCGCTCGTTGTTAATTCGAACGTATCTATATTAGTCGCTTATCTAATATAAGGCGTCGACGCTAGCTTCGAAACTACAATCTACCCGCAGTATCTTAACTAATTGTTCGAGGTCTATATTATCGACTCCTACTAACGCGCGGCCTCTAACTATAGGCTAGCGATAATCGAGTTTATATAGTCGATATATAGGTTTTACCTTCCCGTTCTGCTCTTGTACTATAACTATACTCTACTATATATTATTTAGTACGCGGTACGGCGGCACCGCTCTAGATCCTTCTAGTGTCGCTAGTCTAGTATCCGTAGATATAGCAATTTCCGCGCAATCGCTAGTATCGCCGACTCTACGCGTTGTTACGCGCACCGTTTTTCGTTTTGTCCGTTAGTAATAATTAGAACAAATCTTGTATACTAGGTACCTAAACGTAGTCTGTCCCTCTACCGTACGGATCTGCTTTACTACCTTAGGGAACTCTTCTTCGTATTTCTCGTCTATTAATACTAGGTCGTATAGGTAACCTTACGTCCTTCGGCGTTCCGGTAATAATAGTAATCGGAACGTGCTACTAATCTAACTAGACTCCTAAATTGACCTCTCGACGCTAGCGTAAAATGCGTAGTATATCGACGGCGATAGGCTAAGGCCGCGGGTAATACCGCCTATTAAATATTAATCGCGAGGTAGTTAAGTACGTAGCATTCTCGAAGGCGGTAGTTATATATATAGCGTAGTAGAAAGTCGACGTTAGTTAGTAGTAGAAACTAGAACTACTCTAGTCGCGGGGTTTGCTAATGCCGACTTAGGCCCTAATTCGGTATCGAATCGGGTACTAAGCCTACTAGGCAACTTCTACATCCTCTATTACTAACTTCGGTAGTAGGTTCGGCAAATTACGTTATCTATTATCTCGCTTCTTAACCTTACGCCTAGTGTATTATATTGCCGCGGATTTATATATAGTCGTTTATTCGGCCTCCTACTTAGACTACTGCCGCGGATTTATATATAGTCGTTTATTCGGCCTCCTACTTAGACTACTACTCTAGTATACGATCTATAGAATATTTCGATCGTTTTATGCCTTTGTTTGCTACTCGTTATAGCTAAACACATGCCTTTTCGCTGCCGATAGAGTTAGTAGCATCT